TTTAACCAAAATTGACGATTCTAGTTCAACCGGAAGTACCCTATAGGTTTTGGGTCGAAAACCTATATGGTGGTTCCCGTTGACCTAGAACCACGAAATTTGCCAAAAAGAAACGTCTTACAGCACAAATAAAGGAATAATTCCAAAAAATAAAAAAGTTGAAAATTAAGATAAATTTTGCTACTTACAACTTTTCGCGAAAATCTACGTAAATTCTGGGTAGGTACGGAACCTTCGGCGCACGAGTTCGACTCGTACTTGACCAGTTTTTTTACATTGCACCTCAAGACTTGCTTCAGCTGACAAACGTTTTCTAAAAAACGTTATATTAACGTTAAATTAAATAAAAGTGATGTACCTGTTCGAGTTATCTTCATTACCAGCATAATACGCGCGACGCCTCTTCGCGGCAGTACCAATACCATCTTAAGGGTGTTCACAGATCGGTGGGAGACGCCGATGATGCGCCGATGGATGCGGCTACATCTTTCTTTTTCTTTCTTTCTTTTTTAAAAAGACAACTACCGCACTAGGAATAAATCCTGTGTTGCGGGGGACTTTACAAACATACATGAAACGGACACAAAGTACACCCAGACTCAGAACAACAATTTGTGGATCACACAAAGTGTTATCCCATGTGGGGTTTGAACCCACAACACTCGGCGCAATAGAAAGCGGCGTGGCGACCGCTTAAACCACTACGCCATCCGTGCAGTCCATGCCGTAATATGAATTGTTTTTGTTTTTATTATAATAGGTAAATATACTCGTACTTAACTTATACTAACATTAGTATGTTGGCAAATAATTAGTAACAAAATATGCAAAAGAAATTCTGAAATAACTTATTATTATAATACATACATGCATTTTCTGTATGCACACTAAGCAGTATTGAAGGTTTTGTGTGTACATTATTGAAATTTTCATTTCTTTTACACGTACTATTGTCAAATGGACAATTGTTCGTGGGACTGGTAACGAGACCAATAGAGTGGACTGCTGAGTTATGAGAATCAATCCCAGCATCCCATCTTGTGGATCCATCTGTTTGATAAAATGATTACTCATCAAAGTGATCACTGCAGACTCTAGCAGGTACAATCACCTAATTATAAATATTTATACAAAAACTATCTCACTCTAAGGTAGATGTACGTACACATGTATTTGGCTCAACTTACTACTGATAACTGCGGATGTTAATACCAGTAATGGCAAAATTTGACACACTATACATGTGGCCGTCATATCAAAAGTTATATTTTCATGATTGAACAATATTAATAATAATAACTTCACACATCTCACACAGCGCAGTCTGGTTTCAAACTAGGCAGAGCCTATGCTATGGTAACCAATCTGCTGATAACCATACTTAAATATTCCTAAATACATACATGTTATAGATATATTACAGTCAGACACAGAACAAATGATCGTGCTCATCACACAATATTTGTCCTAGATGGGCATCAATAAGGGGCGAGACCTCGTGGTGGCCATCGGAGTGGGAGTCCTCTCGCTCGGTAGTATGATTGCCGCCATGGTACGCCTGGTACGCCTGAACTTCGCCGTCTCCTTCTGCGAGCAAGTTATGGTTGCAGAGGAGATGGCGGAGCGGGACCGGGAGAGGTTTAGAACGGGCCAGATACCGCAGACGACTCGGGCACCGGAGGTCGCAGAACGACCTCCGTCCTCCATAAGCGCAGGCCTGTGGGTGATAGGTGAGGCCATCTGTCACCAGGCCGGAGTGGCGGCGAGACGCGCTGCTGCTTTTGGGAGCACAAAGACGACATGGGGGTTCCCACTCAGGAGGGGGTCATTTACACGCCGTGGATGGCCCGAGGTACGTTGGGATTTCCTTTCTAGGGTACACCTGGTTGCCCGGCTACTGGTACCCTTTTATTCCTAAGTTTGTAATTTTTAAGTAAAATGTTGGCAGCTGAATTAGAATCATTTACTCTTATCTTCCAGAGTTCAAATTTTATAGCATGATAGATAGATACATAAATACTTTATTTGTACACCAGGGTTTTACAGACATTATAAAGTAATTAACAACAGATACAATGTACAAAGAGAAGAGAAATTGCACTAAGCAATAAGGCCGCCCCCTTATTGCTTAGTGCAATTTCTTTCAGGCAACCTTTGGAATGACTGGATTCATTTTGAACTGGTCATAGGTACACAGAAATTAGAGAATTACATAAGAATGAAATATTTACAGTGCATAAATACTACTAATCTACATAAATACTATACATATATATATATTAATATATACATACACTAGCTGACCCTGCAAACGTTGTTTTTTCCAAATTTTTATTTTTATTTTCAACGCCCCGCACAGCCCTCTGAGGGTGGAATTTCGTAAAATCCGTTCTTAGCTGACCTCTACTCGGTGAAAAGAATATTCCTACCAAATTTCAAGTCTTTAGCTCTAATGGTTCCAGAGATATCGTGATGAGTGACTAAATACGTGGAAATCTCTTATATATCCAACTATTAGTGACAGATAATGTATATGGGCATTATCTGTCTCTAATAAGTAGTTAGCATAGTCTTGAAGGCGGTTACAGATTGCGCACGTCTGATAGTAACTGGCAAGGCATTCTATAAACGTACAGCTTCTATGGAAAATTATTTTGTGTAGAAATTTGTAGAATGCCTTGGTATTTCCAATCTCAGGTTTCATACGTGACGTTCAGACATTTCATACGTGTGTCATGAAGGAACTTAAAGCGTTCTTTGAGTTAAATAGGAGTTAATGGATTAAACAGAATGTTATACAGAAGCGTAAGGATATGAGTATTCCAGCGAAGGCGGATTGGAAGCCACCTGAGCTTTTTACGGTGGTGGGAAACATGATCATATTTGCGAAGTCTAAATATGAATCGTATGCAAAAATTTTGGGGACGCTCAAGTTTATAAAGATCAAATTTATCAAGATTATCAAGACAATGCTTTTATTCAGTTTCGATAGGAGTGTCTCTTTATGAGAAGCACGACCGGATTCTGCGAACAAGATTGGCTCCAGACGAAGAAACTCCTCAACGGTAAATCGTACATACTTACCTACACTTTATAAAATATCAGCCTGTTCTGAAATTCATCATGATCTGGCTGCTGCACTCGACATTAACTCAGACGAGGAAACTTCACAACGGTCCTAACAAAACAAAGAGATAATAAAGTACAAGACGGGCTCGTTGGTCTAATATTTAGCTGACAACTGAGGCAGAGGTAGTTGGTTCTGTGTTTGGGTTTAATAGTATAGTTAAACCGCCGTAAGCTTGGCCCTCCTGATGGTTTGGGGGACGCGGGGCGGGGGTGCATTCAACCAATTAGCTAGTGCGTCGCTGTCCGCCGGCAGTGACTGACGTGAAAGCATGGCTGTATGTGTTATTTTTCTTAAGACTGCTACACACGGTATTATTTTGCAACATGGATAATCTGCCGACTCTGCGTCACAAAAAGATTTAAAAACTTCAAGTTCGGCTTACAGGGGTTCTACTGTTAAAGTTCTAATAAAGAATATTTATTATTTTACTTAATTTTTAAATTGTATCTGAATATAATTTACATGATGAAGATAAGGTGATTTTATTAAAATTATTTCACAGTATTAAATTTTACAATTAATCATAAACACTTATAATACACTGACAATATAATACATGGAAATAAATTCGATTGTTATTACATCGTGTGTAGATTAAATCTCAAACAAATAAATCTGAAGATATCGAGTTAGTACATCGTGTCATGTATAGCCGAGCGCATCACCCGCCCTGCGTCCCGCAAACCATCAGGAGGGCCAAGCTTACGGCGGTTTAACTATAATGTACATTTATTTACAACTGCCTGGTGCCCGCGTCTTCGTTCGCCTTTAATTTGAAATGCGCTGCCTTAGTGGGTTCGATTCCCGGTCCAGGCAATTTTATAGGGTTTTTCTGAGAGAAAAAAAATAGTCAAAGTTACTCCTTGTATAGACAGCTATTTGGTAGTAAAATATTATAAAACTAAATCGGTCCAGCGGTTTTGTTATGATATTATTGAACAAACAGACAGACAAAAATATTGGTTTTTAGGAACAAGGGTCTTGTAAAAAACCGTGTGAGTATGAAAGAAACCCATTATTTTACATTATACATACATTACAAACAGACACTACAATTTTATTTATTTGTATAGATAGGTAAGTATTTCTGGTAGCCGCAACACAAGTTTAATCTTACCTTGGGTAACAGAGCCTGACTACGAGTATACTGTGTAAGAAAAATTAAGAAAATCCTGTTATATTAGAAAATTTGTACTTCATTTGACGTTAATAAACATTATTATTATATTATTATCTGCCTAGGTAGGTAGGTATATGTATTTAGTATTATGCAAGTTTGTTTCTCGAAGAATATGGATGATCGGTGAGTTAAGAAAGGTTGGCTTGCAATAGTTCTAGACCTGCAGCCCTACAGGCTCAGCAAGAATTAATTCAGAAATACCTATGTGTAACAAGGGTAACTAGTAATACCTACCTAACCTCTAGGTGATTGACAATTCAGTCTTTTAGTGTCGTTGTGTATGGTAAGTGACTACCGCCGCCACTGGACACCTGCAACTAAGAGTCAAGTCAACTAAGTGCAAGTTTTCATCCTTTAAGTTCACCCCCAAAGGCAGAAGAGCGTTTGAGGCTCCGGTAACCTGACTCACGCGACGAAAAGCAATCAAGGAATTCCTTAACACCGGTTTTCGGTGATGCCCGGGGGTCACTCCGGTCGAACCGGCCCATACGTGCCGAAGTACCTAGGTATAGCTCTCCCACGGTATTTAATATACTTACTATCTACTTATGTATGTCGGAATAAAATTCTATCTCTGTTAGTACGTATGTTAGGTTAGTTTAACTAGTCGCTTTGTATCGAAGTGTGAGATGCACATCGTACATCGACCATCGTACTAAGGTAAGTACATAGAAACGGACCATTTCGGCGATGCTAGTGATCGACACTGGGGTTCGAAGGACACCATACATCAGTAATCGAGGCACGGGTCACATAGATTCACAGAATTGTGTGTTTGGTGGGGCGTCTTATAAAAACAGCGCGCGTGTCGTGCGCGGGGCGGAGCTTTGGGCGGCGCTTGAGTCGTGCCGGGGGCGGCGTGCGGCGTGGGCGCGGCCAGGGGTGCGAGAGGGTGTGCGGGAGGGGGCGCGACAGCGCGACGCGCAGTGCCGCGCGCCGCGCCGACCTGCACGCACCGCGAGCACGAGACGCAAGCGAGCGCGCCGCGAGTGTTCCCTGTGATACCTAGTGCTGTGACCTGTGACCTGTAGCGCACGCCTCGAGGAGTGGCACCTAGTGTACAGCTGCTGCGAGATCTCAGTGATAAGTGATAACTACCTAAGTGACTTTGGAGCGCTCCGCCGAGCTCTGCGCCTGGACCCACCGAGTTGTCATCGTAGGTACGTCACAGAGCGGCGCCTACTGCATCCGAAACACCATAACTATCCTATAGGTACGTTTAAAACCTGCACTGCCTAAAGCGTATCCAGACGTTTTCGGTGTTAGTTAGATGTACATTGAACCTTCCCTAACACATATAGCTACCTACCTATAGCCTAATATCTAGACCCATTTATAAACCTACCTATACTTATAATAGTCAACCATCTTCACAATAAATGGTTCTTTAGCGCCGTTGAGTCGTTGTAGAATATTGTAAATGGCAATACAGAACAGGTGCCTACTATAGACTCGATAGAATAGAATATTTTTTATTGTACACTAGTTCAGTACATTATACATACCTACAATAGTATTTCGGTCTTATCGCTAAAAAAATTCTTACAGTCAATCTTTGGATGGACAAATAGAGTGTAAAGAGGTAATCTATTTAGCAGTTTTGGTGTGAAAAAAAATGTAAAAGAATCAAAAAATATTTATACAGCACAACAGCATTTGATAGTGATAAAAGGTAAATAAGAAGCAGTACTGATGATACAGCAGTCAGTGCTAGCAATACCTAGGTACTTATGTAAATACATTTAGTCACACAAACACACAGTTACACAGACATTCAAATGGAAGTAATAACTAGATACTAATTAGGCACTATTTGCTTACTTACTTAGTGCTTACTAAACTCTCATTGAGCTGAGTTGTTTCCTCCCAATAGATTACTACTAGATAGGTGAATAAAATTAAACTAAGCGAGGATAATTATATCGATACTATGAGAGTAAATATATAGGTACGTATCTCGGGCACCGGTCTCTACAAATGCTCTACTTAGGTCATGTTAAGCCAAGACAATTTAGATACATGCATTTGTGATGACAAAATAAATGAGTTATTATTATTATCATAATGTAAGGACAGCCAAGGTCAAATTATAAGTTTTACATACAACTAAATAACTTCGATAACTTAACATCCAAATAACTTACAAGTACAATCTATACTAATATTATAAAGCTGAAGAGTTTGTTTGTTTGTTTGAACGCGCTAATCTCAGGAACTACTGGTCCGATTTGAAAAAAACTTTCAGTGTTAGATAGCCCATTTACCGAGGAAGGCTATAGGCTATATATCATCACGCTAAGACCAATAGGAGCGGAGCACCAATGAAGAATGATTCAAAAACGGAGAAAAATTATTACTATTGAGAGACGCAGACGAAGTTGCGCGGGTCAGCTAGTAACTTAATAATCGTAAAGAAATGAAAATAACTAAATGCTCTACATCGAAAAACTGGTAACACATGATCATGACATGACATACCATATTAAATAAGAACTTGCCCCGTAGTTTGTGCTAACAGGAGGTGCGATCTTCGTAAAAAACTAGATGGTACACGCAGTGCGATTTTGTTCACAATCTAAATTCAAAATAAAAACATATAACTAAGAGAAGTAAATGAATTTTATATCAACTACTATAGTTGGGTAAGTAGTAATTGGAACGAAATTGTATGTACCTCACAAATAACGTTAGGTAGGTGCACACAACTGCATTTTATTCTGTCTTCTAGTTGTGTCTTCTAGTTGTTGAAGAGACCCACAACTAGATGACAGTGATAGTGAGAGGCGTGCTATTGAATACGAACATGAGTTGTATTTCGCTTACAAATATCTTTTGAAGAGATTAAAATTAAAGTAGGTATATAGTAAACTTTTAACGGTTCCAGGTATAGGTATCTACCTAATGCTTAGTGTTGTTGTAGCCATCACTTACAGTGCAGTGCAGTTGTTATTAAAAAAACTAGTGGTAGCAGTCAAAAGTAATTATGTAGTATCCTCGGCGATCCCTCCAGCGCAGCTCCGTTATGTTAGGAGTGCGCTGCGACAACTTTCTCTTAAGTTCTCTTATCGTTTTATAAACCAAAAAACATCTACTCTTATTTACTTCTAAATGCTTTGTTAGTTAAGTTAAATGTGATATGCTACATTTGTTATTGGATGGCGAAATAAAGAAGCGATCAAAAAGTAAGCAAACATTAAATGACATTCAAAGTCAACGAACGGCGTCCCATTACTGAGATTATAATAGAAATACGACGTGGTTGCGCGGACTTATGTCTCGTTATACAAAAAACAATTTAATCACTAAATGTAAGTGCTAATAAAATAAGATATATGTAGTATAGTTATAATTATCCATTGAATTGTTTGTGCCTTTATGTACCTACTCATATAATGACTTAAGTACGGAATAGATCTTTACGCATAGAGTAAGGTCGCTTAAGTCGTAGCTACCTCTTAACAGAAAGTTTTTGATACGTATTATTTATAATTTAATCAGGCCTTATTATATTTCTAATTAATCTATATTTATTGGGTTTCGAAGAAGTAATAACACTTTGGTCCTACCGAGAGACTTCTTTTTTGAAGGTAGGTATTTCTTCATCGGCCTCTTAAATTGTACAATCCAGATATGTATAGCTTGAGTCGTAGCAAGAGAAATGAAAGTATGTAATGAATAAAACAGGAAGCAATCAATATCGTCTACAGTTGCAGTGTTCAAAGGTTTTTTAGCAACATGCGAATTGAATATAAAATGTAATACTTATACTGGTTTTCAATTTTATAGATACAAATTAAAAATTGATAATAACATAAAACTACTAATCACTTAAAATAAAACTGTTCATTAAACATCGTTATGAGCAATTTAATTCCATGTTATATAGTTTGCTCCTTTAGTCAGCTCTTACGACACCCACCACATGGACAATATTATGTTCAATTTCACAATAATTATGTTGTAAAACATTTTTTTAATATGATTAGCTGCATGATATGGTATGAGAATGTCGATCATGCAAAAACATAGGTAATTGAGAACAGACTGTAAGTTTAAATCCGTGCTTGAGATTAGTTTCAACTGAGTAAAACTTAAAACGCGTTCTAAAATAATATCGATGCTTAAATTTTAATCGGAACAAAACTAACATCAGATAATCGGAGTTCAATCGATCCTTGAGCTGTGTGTGTGTGGTCATGATCCTTTTAAAATACGGGCCTAATAATTTAAAACAATACTAGCTTTTAAATGATATGATTTTAAGTATTAGTATTTTTGTAAAGAAAGTGACTTGGAATAACAATTTCCAAATTCGTTTAGCGCTAGATCCTTTCATCAGGAGGTAACAGTTTTATGTAATTGTTTATCTTTTTTTTCTGAAGATTAAAATGAAAATGTTTAAGTATTTCAGTAACTGTTGTTTACACATTCGTCAAAGTTGCTGAGACCTCCTTTTAAGTGTTGAAAACTTGTGGTCAGAAGACTGCGCGCTTCTATAATAAATTATAAAATCTAAAAATAAAATTCTCGTGTCACGGTGTTATAAGTTGAACTCCTCCGAAACGATTTTCGTGAAATTTTGTTTGCATATCGGGTAGGTCTGAGAATCGGCCAACATCTATTTTTCATACCCCAAATTTTTTTTTTGTTGACAAAAAACTTTGAAATATGGTAAATCAACGTTTGCAGGGTCAACTTGTATTTAATATAATATTTTCGGACATCTGACTTAAAGCCATCTAGTTTCAAGCTAAGCAGAGCTTGTACTATGAAATCTAGATTGACTGACAGAATACTTTTTTTTTTGTAAATAATACATATTTACATAGTAGGCCAAAACCTCCTTTCTAAGGAGAGGCTTTTAATATAAGCTTACCTAACTCAAGCTATAGGCATTGAATAAGTCTGTAGAATTAGTAGAGAGTAAAAGCTTTAAAGCACACGAGGTAGGGGAAGGTTTTTTCTTTTATATAAAAGGTTATTAAGTTACAATAAAGTTATGGGGTTATACGTATTACTGCCGACTGCTTTATTCTCAGATTAAACATGGTTTGAGTGAGCGCTAGATCAGCAACAACATTACCTACTTATTAATAATAAATGACATTTATTTCTGTAAGTAAATCTTTTCAGATATATTTACAAGTCGGTATTCAAGAGACGGATAGTAGTGTATTTCTACAGAGTGAATAAATACAATTCTACTAAAAACAAGTTACGGAACATTTACACCTCAATGAAAGTTTAATTGCGTTTAATGTAAAGTATTCAAGTATCATTTAAATTGTAACATAGAACGATAACCGTAGGTACGCTCGGGTGCCTATTGTGTTCGACATCATTCGCAAAGGATAGCTCAGTGCACAACACGTTCTATGGAGGAGCTCATAAATGCTAATATTTACTATATTGATGTTGTTTACCGTCGCCCAACAAATCAAATACTCGGCAAATTGTGTTGTGGCCGCGGTTGAGAGTATCTGTGGCGATGACTTTTTGGGCAGTAAATAATTACTTGGACAACATAAATACCAAATAATATTTAGTGTAGCTGTTCAAAGAAAGCTCGTATTGTTGAGATATCTCTTACAATTAATTGAGATTGACTTTCTCAAAAACTAACGTAACGTAAAAATGTGCCCGTACATCATTATGATTGAAGCTAAAAAGTAAATGGAACAAATCTCAATAAATTGTCAGCAAAACAAAAATAAGAAATGGTTGTATAGGTACGCGTCACTACTATGTACGTGATTTCTTAAAATAATTTCTATGTTTTAAAATATACAAAAAAATGGATAAATATCACAATAATACATTAGCTTAGCTAACAACAAAAACGCGTCGTTGTAATTTAAGGGCTCAGAATATTTCGAGCAGTACCCAATGTTGTGTGTAAAAAGTTATGTGAGAAGATCCATAAATGTAGAAACATATTAACGTTCACCGAACACGTTATACCTACATATATTATATCTCTGCCTCGCTAAAGTCAGACGTAAAAAGTATGAAGGACCACTTTGTGCGATTCTGATTACATTGTTGTGTTCTTGACGCCCCGTCGTTGCCATGGCAATTGTGGACCGCAGTCAAGTCTGCAATTATTGTGTGTTACATTACAAATGGTTAAACTTGTGATGAAAAGTCACCAAATATGCATAAGTTTAAAGTTGGTGTTTGTGTTTTTTTGTTATTCAAAGGAAAAATTGATAAACGAAGCTAGGCTACAGTGTATTGGCTAAAGTCGGTTTAACATTACTGTTACGACATTAATGTAAGGCACAGAGTTATATAATCTTGTATTGTTTACTGCTAATAAGTAGTTTGAACTGTCAATGATATTGTTGTATCATTTTAAGTGAGTTCCAAAGAATTAGTATGTAATTGTGTTATCCATATTTGTTGCCAATATACTAGTATATATATAATATAGTTAGTAAAGAAATAGGTGGGCTATTTCTTTATTAACTTATGTGATTGTAAACATTCTGTTGATTCCGTTTTGTTATTTTTTAAATAGGCCCAAATGGTTCTAAGTATAAGGGTCAAAAATTATTGAGGTCCATAATAATTTATGTAAGTTTCTTATTTCTTGAATTATGTATTGATATTAAAGTCGGTTGTGATATTTTTAAACAAATTTAATTTCTTTGATTATATGTTTTGTCAAAAACAGTTAAAAACTCCATTTTGTTTCTTTTATTCTGTATTTTCAGTAAAACTGATTTCAGAAATACAATAATAATCAAGCCTCTTTGCTTTGCTATGAGAAAATTGATAAAACATGATTAAGATTATGCCTAACTGGGTATATTACGGTCAGCGGCCGCCATCGCTAGTAAGGTGAGCGCAATAAAAAGTAAAAGAACTGAAATAACTCTTTTTCGAAAGTGTGTTTACCACGACTAGTACCGTAAAGTTGAGGACAGCTCTCAGAGAAGAGCTTGTCAGATCAAATATGGGGCAGAGAACAATCCCTGACATTGTGACAGCTGAACGATACCCGTCACTACATTAGAATTAACGGTGTTAGCGCATATTTGCTTTCTATTAGAAACTAAATAAATAAACTATTTCGAAAAGTTCACTAGGTATACTTAAACACAATGAAATGTATTAAAACCATGAAACCTAAATAATGTTGGTTTTTAAGTGATGCTAATAAAACCAACAAGACAAACTAATGTTATTGCGTGTTATGTAGTTATGATTTTATTTAATCACTTAACTGCAGGTGGTATATGTGTGCCCTTGTAGAAATATATATACATACATACATATAGATTGGGTATTTTTGGTTCCTTTTGTTAATTCGTCAGTAAAATAGTGTAGGTTGCATGAAAGAAAAGGTGACAGAGCTTCGCTACACCTGTTGCTATTGAATCTGAAATTACGTACAGACATACCTCGGTGAATATGATTTTGCAACTGCTTTAAAAAGTGCCAATTAAAGAAGTGGTCTGAGAGGTTTCTGAGTTTTAGGAAAAGCCGAGTGAAGAATAAAATACTGACAGTGATTCCGGTATGAGTTTGGCCAAAGATCTTAGAGCTAAGTTTACATGACACTACACAGAAATGATTCCTAAAGCCTGTATTAGCCTGTATTATATTTATATGGCTGTCATTCCATAAAATAAAATAAGGTACATACATAAATTCACTCATGTTTTTTTCTCGTTTCATAAGCCAAGATTGTACCAGATAAACGATTTTTTTGACTGTGTGGACTTATTAAACATACAAACTGTCAATTGCATAGCTCTTATACTTTAGATTTTATTGATATCTAAAAATTTTGTCACTGACTCACTGATGATAATCAAATTCTTAGAGTACTTCTTGAAGGCCTAGAAAGCTAAAAATTTGGTATAAAAGCTAGTATTAAGTACACAAATAACTACAATTTCTAATAATTGGAACTTTTATACCCCAACCCCTTAAACTAGGGGATGCACGTTTGTATGTGACAGCCGCAAATTTTGATGCTAGGGGTCTGAAAATAGATATAATAGAGACTGTTATAAATAATATTTTGTTATAAGTAAGTTACAAAAAGAAGAGAAATCCCACCAAAAAATTTTCATGTAAAATGTTGCCAAAATGAGACTATATGGCTCGCACTGTCAAAAAGTTATCAGATCTCATGTAGAGCCAAGCTGCTAACTCTACAAGCCCTAACTTCACAAGCTCTACCCCTTTGTCAAAATATGTGGCTTGGCGGTTTCGCTACCGTCACATGAGCATAAGGTGAATAATTTATTCACTGTTTATTACTTTTCTATTATACAAAAGCTCTCGTTCTTAGTATCGAAACAGACAAGCCACATGTTTTGACTAAGGTGTGGAGTTTGAGAAGGCTTCTAGAGTTAGAAGTTTGGCCCTACATAAGATCTGATAACTTTTGGACAGTGCAAGCCATATGGTCTCGTCTTGGCAACATTTTACATGAGAATATTTTTTTTGTAGGATGTTAATTACGACGAATGTATCACTAGGAATAAAAACAATAAATAAAATAAAAGAAATGTTGTCATACTGCATTTACGAGCGTGTAATGTTGAGAAATTCAATGACTCAGACCATTCTAGATGGATCTAGAGATAGAATAGAAAGATGTCGACGATAAATGCAATTTATGCATTAATCTTATATTTGCTCGCATGTGTTTATTTATAAACAAACCTGTCACTACTCCAAGTGGTGCGATCTATTTGTAATGTGTTTCAATGTTGACTTAACTTCGATATTGGTGCTATGAATATCAATAAATTATTGAACTAATTGTCATGTGAACAAGCTGTTAACCGAGAGTTCAATATTTATCTCTATTATGTATCTACATGTAAGGGTGCACGGGTGTACGAACTACCCACGGTGTAAAAGAAAGGCTTTACAAATAAAGCAGTACGAATCCTATTGATTGTGACGGCGACCGACGTTCTCTACCTGCACTGTTCTTTAATTTGATAACTAATAAAATACAGTGTGTTATAAAATGTAGTCGTCATATTTTAGGGTCGTAGGTATAGTAGAACCCATAAATAACATAAAGCGCTAACAATCTTAGTAAAATTGGTAATTATAAATACAGAAAATTGTGGGCAGCCGTATGTAAGTGTCGGTATGTGTTGCAGGTGGCGAGGTCCGAGCTCTAGGGCGCGGGCGGCGCTGGCCGGGCTCGGAGCGGGCGGCATGGGGCGCGCGCGCAGCCGGCCGGCATGGCGGTGAGCTGCCCCGAGGTGATGTACGGCGCCTACTACCCCTACCTGTACGGGCGCGGGGCCGCGCGCTCCTTCCACCACGCGCCGCACTTCCAGTACGACCGGGTCAGTAGCCTCCGCTATTCTCTAACTTTATGCATTTCAGTGTAGCCTCAGAATTCAACAAATATCTAGTTTAAGTGATTACACTAAATATGGCTATGCTTGCTTAACCTAAAGGGTTGGTTAGCTGGTAGGTACCTACTTCTACATAAAGCGCCTTTATGGCAAATGATCGTGTGGTTTTAGTCGTGTCAAGAATACGTCAAACTGATCACAAAAATGTGTCAATAAATTACAAATAGATTACTTTATTCATCATCATCATCAACAGCGTTTAACAGTCTACTGCTTAACACAGGCCTCTCCTTAGAAAGGAGGTTTTGGCCTAATATACCACGCTGGCCAGACGGGTTGGTATAGGGTTTGTGTCAAGTTTCCTTCTCTCTGCAGTGTTGTTGTCCTGCCTATTTCGCTCCCTTAGTCGCCTCTTACGACACCCACGGGATGAATAGGGGTGGTGACACTCAGTATTCTTAATCCGTCACCACACGGCAACAGATTACTTTATTATCTTATGATATGATATTAGTTTATTATATTATCTTATGATAAGTGTCTGAACCTCGCGGTGGCACCCGTAGTTACTGCATCAGTTGTTAGAGTTCCGCTCCTTTGGGTCGTAGCGCGATGTTATGTAGACCTTTCCTCGCAACGCGTAGGGACTCTAATAGACATGGACGGTTTCAGCTTAATCTCCTGGTTAAAATCATCAAAATTAGAATTTGCTATAGCGTCATGATGGCTTCTGAAGAAATATTACTTACTGAATTACAAGACGGGTTGCAAAGGAGCACAACCGGTTATCGAACGAACGCATAGTTTATTGTTGTTGAAAACTAGAGATGAGGTGTTAGGTTTGCTGAGGTTTCAGTTCAAAAATAAAAAGGACATTGTCATTTGACACAGACTGCGACTCTGTCAAGGAAATATAGGTTGGGTTATAGTCGCCGCGCGCCTCTGAATAGATACAATTACCTATGGCAAGTGGTAGACCCGCCAGTAACGACAAAGCCTCGGCACTGAACGGACTGTGTATACCTCAGTGTAAAGATAAAAAGAAAGGGTGTTAAAAATAAATAAAAGTTATTTAAGCAATGTCAACGGTTAAAAGTCACGCTTGAGTGACGCCAGGAGGTAGTTACCGATCTGCTATTTCACATTAGTTAAGCTATACAGTAAATCAACTTGAAATATTGTTCTAGAGGTCAACTGTGCACAGAGGGGCGCGTGCTTACTAATAATATCCATAAAAAGGGCGTATTCGATATAACAGAGGGGTGGGCCTCGAATGGTGAACGCGTCTAGCCTCCAAACTGAATTAACTGTAAGTAGGTGGAGATAATATCGAGTGTGATGCAGTGATCTCACCGAGCCGTGCACTGTCCACCTGTGCGTGAGAGACTCATTAGGAACGCCGTCCCAGGCGATATTATTAAATTAACCACCCGTGCTGTTGCTTATACACTTATGTAAGGCAGAATTGTACGATGTTCATCCTATTTCAAGTGGGGTAAAGTACCATTACGGTAGTACTTATCTAGAAGTTTTTTATTCCAATTGACATTAAATTTAAAGTCAAATGTAGTTTCGATCCATTAATTAAGCCACTTCACACAAAATTAACATTTAAATACTGACGACGTGAATTATGCAGTTAGACCGTTAAGTAAATCGCCTCTGTACAGGGTGTAAGGGACGTCGTAACGAATACTGAAATAGTGAATTTGGACCATAATTTTGAGTCGAAAATCAATGGAATTTACCGCCGGAAGATTAAACTTTTTATGCAATCAGCTGGTTAAGGTTAATGTCATTCGACGTAGATATCGCACAAAAGTAATAACTACATGTGTATTCCGTGCAAAGAGTCTACGCACACTAACACAATTTGGCAGCTGTTTGGAGGCTGTTTGATTAATTACATTGCAGTTTTTGACCCAATGCGGTATTTATTTAATTGTTTTCAGTAAATGTTCTGTTTACTCACTGTGATATTATTTTTAACCAAAGTATGGAAAATTCCAAAAAAATATGAATTTTCCGTCAGAAAATTCCAATGATTTTCGACTCAGAATCATGGTCTGAATACACTATTTCAATATTCGTTACGACGTCCCTTACACCCTGTATAGCTATCTGTTGTCTTGTATGCATTTGATATTTGAAAAATAAAAATATTAATTTGAATCAAGTAGATCTCTATTCATGCTGCACCAGATTGTATGAAAATGTATGAATTGATAAGTGATAAGATAAAAATGATGCGCATTGACACACGCGCACACAGGCCCGCTTTGTATGAATGGTCCTAAGAGGTTCATTATTGTTGGTGAGTTTTTCCTTTTCTTGATCTCTTCCCTCTCCATTCTCACCTATCTAATAATCCCTAAGGCATATCTATGTTCCTCGTGTTAAAGACTCTACCTTTGTTCCAAAGACAAGACTGATCTGTCGCAAAGGTAATCGCAAACATTTCACGTTTTTGAGACATATAGAGTCATAATGTTCAACGTAGTGTAGTCGTCGTGGACGATGATGTATCAATGTATCATAACGCATATCAGTTATAATTGTCATTTTATCATATTTACTAACATTAGTTTTTACATCGGGTGTGAACTGTGCCAATCGCATCACGAAAGTAAAAATGTCCGTGCGCAAGCCGGGCCACGGCGCAGCGAGTGACACAGTAGACAGTGTTCTTATGTGTGGGATGGTGAGTGACCGGTCCGACCGGCCCATATGTCACAGCGCGCAAAAACACCTCCTCTACTGGAGCGATGCACTGGCGATACATACTTCCCGAGTAACTTCTACTTTCCCAAGCGGTCAGTTTCATGGATGCGATCAAATTATAAATACATCGTTTTAAATTCCGGAGTTAAGCTTAGTACCTACGCCGTTCACAAATTCCGTGCTTATACAAAAATAAATTTAAAATGCCTAATGGTGGAGTATGTTTCAAGGACAATAAATTATATAGGTAGTGTAGGAAATCTAAATGTAAGTAAACCTTTATTTGCAAATACAAAATGAATAAAAAAAATATTTTAATTCAATTGTGTTTTGGCGGCAGCCGCGTGCCTATAATTAGCACATCGATGTAATCCTCTCATTTACATCGACACAACCCTCCAAGCGTGAAACTACCACTCAATGAATTAAGATCTTGGGACCGCTCGGCGCGCCCGCAATAGTACAGGCACTAGTGGCCACTCAGGCCGCCACGACTGATGGAAGATTTATGTTAATATAATGAGATATCGATCAAAAAACGAGGGCTCGCAGTTAAAATAAAACAGAGCCTTAAAGTGTTTATTTCTAGGAAACAATATAATTTATGTGGCGATTGTTATCTACATATATTTAACTAAAAGAGTTTCATGTTCTGAAGCCAGGTTGAAACAATGCTATTAGCATTAATAGCTCGGCTAATGCGAGCTTCATGGTAGGTTCGTAATGGACGCAGAGACTTTTATGACTCGCTTAAGGTTTTGATTCGAACTGACCAACAGTTTCTGTTGTCCGGCGCTTATGTAGTACAGATTGCATATGTATTATATATATTTTAGCCAATAAATAAATACAATATGTATGAAGTACCGGTGATCCCGTTATTCTTTTAATTATGTAAATGCAAGACGAGTATCGGACGCTAGGCTATCTGTCAGTAGCCGCGGTGAAACTAGCCACCTTAGCAATTCAATATTGTGCGCCGCCGCCGAGGCGCAATGTTTTTATTTACGAGTAAGTTGCTGGTTTTTGTGTGTTGGTCGGCGCCTGCGATCTATCCACAGGGAATATTGGGTAACATTTTACTAAGTACGATCTGATAAGTATTGTGATCAAAAAAATCAAAATTATCTTTTATTCCCGTGAGAGTTTTTTGTATCCTTCGCAATTAGTTCTTTTTTCTGGGTGTAAGGATCACCTTTGTCTATTTCTGTACCAATGACAATGTGTTTGCAAAAATTCACGATAATCGGATTAGCAATTTAGGTGAGAAAGCATAATAAACTATCAAACTGACTGTCGCATTCAGAAATTAGGATTTTTTTGCCAAGATTTACCTGAAACTAATATTTTCACTTATTAGGATTTAGGATGTCGCATCATGAATTTGAATCACATTTTCCATTGTGATTTTACCCGCTTATTGTATAAAGTAGGCGATTTATTAATACTACTGATAGACGAGAGGACGTGGTCGTCCTCGTCCTCGTCCTCGGCGTGTTACCGCGCCGCCTCCACCAGCCGTAGGTGACCGGACGCGCCCTCATTACAAATCTCGTCAAAGAATTAACCGTGTCTCATGTCAGTTATAATGATTACATTACTGATTATACTATGATTTATATTAGCACATATTATATCTAGATATTAGTTATTCCACAACATCGGGCTATTGTATAATAAAAGGCAGTTTAGTTAGTTTGCGGTTTGAGCCTATTGAGTATATTTCTAGGCAATATTCGATGTCCAACTATTTAAAATTAATGTTAATGTATTAAATACTAAAATAGGTAAATAGAGAAATGTAAAGCAGTGTTAGCAAGATATTACCAAAGCGTATATGCTTATTTAAATCTAAAAATTAAAAGCAAAATAATGTATAAGTAGGTATATGAAAATATTAAGTTAGTTTGTGTACGCTTCAAAAACTCAAATGATAAATGATATGTATTTCTGTAAGTAAATGTCTTCAGATATTTTTACAAGTCGGAGTTTACAGCTTGAAGGCGCCGGCATTTCCTAAGACTGACTAACTAGCAAAGCTAAATAATCTGTTACCGTGTAGTAAGCCTCTTCACATAGCTGTTGTTTTATTATGATCTTAAATTTGTTAATTCATAAAATTTGTAATGAATTATATTGTAGAATCGCACACCCTAAAAAAAAAAAGAAAAACGCCTTCGCCGGGTACTAATAGCCGGGGAACCAGGTATACCCTAGAAAGGAAGTCCCTGGTGCCCCGACATACCTCGGGTCATCTTCAGACGAGTAGACGACCCCCGCCCCGTGTGGGAACCCCATGTTCCCTGTGCTCCCTGGAAGCGAGCGCGCTTCGCAACGCGCTCGCCGCCACCCCGGCCTGCTTCTGCTAGGGTGACAGATGGCCTCACCTGTCACCCCCAGGCCTGCGCTTATGGAGGACGGAGGTCGTTCTGCGACCTCCGGCGCCTGAGTCGCCTGCGCTGCCTGGCCCGTGCCCGGGCCTGGCGGGCCGGGAGAGTTCTAAACCTCTCCCGGTCCCGCTCCGCCGTCTCCTTCGCGAGCATAACTTGCTCGCAGAAGGAGAAGGAGAGAGTAACACGTACTCTCGCTCCGCACGATAGCCGCAATCAGGCTATCGAGCGAGAGAACTCCCACTCCGATGGCCGCCACGAGGTCTCGCCTCTGCTCAACCCACGCCGGGCACTCTGCCAGCGTGTGGAGAGCCGTGTCCACGGTCTGGCCATCGCAGTGGTGGCACTCAGGCGTTGGCTCCTTGTGGATCAGACACAGGTGATCTCCGAAACATCCCTTCCCAGTGATCACCTGCGTCAATCGGTATGAGAGGGTCCCGTGACGCCTCTCGAGCCAATCCTCCATAACGGGTCTTACCGCCGCAATGACGGCGTGCCCGAGAATCGCACACCCTGACATCGAACAGACTTGCTTACGTTTTGTACCCTAGTCGTGGGTCACACGAGTTTATTTTTATTTCTGTTGTTTAATTAACACAGTGAATAAATAAATATTTTTCTTTACATACACTAAGTTTTCATATACATATGTATTGAGATGCGACTATCATAATACACATTTTGTTTTCGCTCTAGTAAAATTTTCTAAATTTTTTACTGAAAGTAATTGATACTGGAATAGGTTTATAATCTGTAGGATCAGACGTGCTACCCGCCTTAAATAAAGGAATAAAAAACAAAAAGTTCTTCACGGATTGGGCTCAGATTTTGACACCTTATACAAACCGCTTCAAAGATTTATTTTATATATTTTTCGTTAGCGAAACATGGCAGGATGCAGCTAGTATAACATCAAAATGTTCACGACTTAGGTATACCATCAAGCGATACCTATACCTTGATTGACTCATTGAAAAAAGTCAGAACGTCGATGACTAGGAAAGAAAATTAGTAAATGTTTACTAATAATCATGTAATAAATAACATTAAATGAAATTACAATAGACTACGCTCAACTAATTTATAGACACATTGCGCATACCACACCTAGCTACGCTTGATCTTTGTACTCTGCTAAATAAGAAATCAAATAAATAAACAATATTCACTCTTACTCTCTTTTATTTTTATTTATTTTTTAATTTGTATTATCTAGCTACGTAGCTTTGCCGCTCCATGAATATATCGTAATTTTATGATTATGTTCTCTTGTAAGTGAATGTAACTCTTAATGAGAATAAAATTTCTGAAATACCTACAACTGGTGACCCGTCTGCTCGTCTGCCCCCACTACATAAAAAAAATACAAGTATGTGTACAGCCCTAAGTTATTTTGGGATCAAACAAATTATGTTTTTGTGTGTCTTGATTAAAACACATAAGTAGTTATGGTCTCCGTTTCAGCTTTAAACATCTTTAAGCTTACACTTATTTGGACAGATGTCTTCTACCAAATTAAGCCAAATTAAACCAGATCGGAGAGAACTGGCTTCTGTGGCTTCCCGCGAGGCGAAGGACCCGTCATGTGGAGTTATTTAAACAGACATGTACTTATTGGATATTAAAATACCAACCCCATATGCATTAGCGAACAAAGGAATTAAAAACTAAAGGAATTAATTGAATCTAAATGTTCAATGCGTTTAATTATAATGGCAATGACCGTTCTTGGCTCTCTACGCGATTGATAACGACGCATTCAAATGTGACTTAATAAATGAGATTTACTGAATATTCCTTGGGTATATCGTTTTAGTTACGACGTGTAATAATTTTAAATAAAAAAAAAAACGTAAATTAATAACAATTTGTAAAAGTCGTCTTCGTTTTTATTAACTCCAACATGTACGTTAATACCGTATGTTCATAAAGCACGCCTCATGTCGCATGTACGTACCTTTAACACGAAATTCTAAAGTATTAAATATTGTTCGCGCTATTTCACAGAACCGATAGAATTTAAACAATTTCAAGATCAACGTGCTTGTGAAATTATCACATGCGCGTTAATATAATGTATGTATGTTTATGAGTTTTTCAAATTAATAATTCATCCGGATTTAAATTCTTCAAAGTTTCTTTGGAAATTGGAATTTGTAACATAGTTTAGGTAGTTATTTTTCTCACAATCCCGTATCTATGAATAATGGACTGAAATGGAATGGATGGACTAATAACTAAATTTAACAAATTTGCGTGCCGTGTAGTAGGTATGTCTCGTCTCGATTTCGATCGAGAAGGAAGTGTGTCATAGGAAGGCAATTTTGCCACTTTGTTGCTCGGTACATCTCATTACTTTTTTGTATTAGTATTTTTCTTTTATATGAGCAGTAAAAAAGCAGATTGATACCATACTTTACAACATTGTGTCCCAACCTGGTGTCAACGGACAAAACGAATATTCTAAGTCAATCTTACTGGAAGCATAGTAATGTAGTTGCGTAGCTAGTGATGTGGTTTAGATTGTGTTAATGTAATAGATAGGTAGTAGTGGATCCCTGTGTGTGTGTGTATTCGGTCTCGGTCACGAGGCCGGTAGCACTTCTACGAAGTTATAGCATTATAACTAGTTGGGTACGACTTTCCACTGACGTCCGTCGAATTGAAGGGGTGGAGTGGGTTGGGTACTAAAGGAAAAGTGGCAGAGGCCCTCCTTTTCGGGTTTTTGTAACTTTTAATTCTGAGGAAATTTTCCTCATTTTACAAATTAAAATAACTAATTTTTAAATTTTAAAAATAAGTTCAAGCAATAAAAAGAAATCAACCTTTTAAACTATGTTTCACCTTTGTACAGCAGCATTCACATGAGCACACGTTGATGCCATACCTTGCATATTACAATACGGTTTTCTGTTGAGTTGTTCTGTGTCAGATGTAAAGTTTTTATTATTCTTATCTACTTTTGGACTATCTAGCGAATTTTCATATACTGACAGTGTTTTGGTTTCTGCACTGCTGAGTTATCTAGCTGAGCAAGTGAGAATCGTAGGGACTTTACGATACCTCAATATCTGTCGGTAAACTTTGGAGTTAACGGTTGTCTGTGCTTGCAGTTCAATGTGCAGAGCGGTGCTGGCAATGTTGGCAGCGAAGCGTACGGGTCGGGGGGCGCGGGCGTCAGCTCCGGCTCGGCCTCCAGCGGCGCTCAGTCGCCGGGCTCCCCGCCGCACGCTCACCACGCGCACCACGCCTCGCGGCTGCGCGCCAAGGAGGAAGACCTGTCCGCTCACGGACGAGCCAGCGCTGATGGTATGCGTCGCTTCGGTTAACGAACTTACTAATACATGTTTGTTACATACGAATGATCTAAACGCGTTTTTCCCTCATTGAACCCCAATTTGTAGCATTATTGTAATAACTGTAAATATTTCTGGTTTTAACCGCTTTGAATCACAGAAATGACATCTTGTAGCTAGATTATTTATATCAATGACTAATTAATCAATTATAAATAAACTAATGTTGGTGGAAATTGCCGCCAAACATCCTTTGCTTAGAGCAGTCAAGCTCGACTCATTTGTATGGGATTCCTCATCTTGGTATAAATCTAGTTATATATTAGCTTACCAATAGGTCGTTAGTTACTTTATGGTAAACCAGCTATAAAAAGTTTTTGAGTGGCGACCACGTACCGGGAGACGGAGCGTGAAATGTGGTTCGTCGACCTGGTGAAGGTGGCGGGAAGCCTTGGATGCGTGCAGCACAGGACCGGTGGTTGTGACAATCCTTGGGGGAGACCCATCTCCAGCTGTTGACATCCTTCGGCTGAGATGATGTAAATGAAAATGGCTGATTATTTTTTCTTTCGTATTTCTAACTTTGGAAATGACAATGACTTCCATACAACATTGCATCTCTTAATTACCCCCTTAGGGGTAACAACACAAGAAGCATCGTCTGCCAAAATTTATGGTATGTAGCCCCAGCCGCGTATGTTAGTCAGTCAGTCAGTTAGTCAGTCAAGGCAAGTAATATTATATGTATAGATAGACTAACAGTTAGAAAGCACACGCCGCGATATCTGGTAAATGCCGGTCGTATTTAGAAGACCTAGCTTCAGCCGTTAACACCTTTTGAAAACGTTCATTGTCTGACAAGGCACAAGACAATGGCTTAACCTGGATGTAACATCATCATCATCAACTCAGACGATAAACGTCTCCTGCTGGATATGGGCCTCCCTCCACGTGGCCATGGTTCGCTCCAAATACCGGTCCTCTTCTGCCAGCATCTAACGGCAACCCGCGTCTATGACAATGATATGGTATACCTTACTAAGACAAATATGAAATACTTTAACTAAAGGTAAACGCCTCTTAATTTAATTAGAAAGAATGTGTTTCCCCTGCTAAACAAATAATTTAGTTGTTTAAATCCTAATGATTGTACATGTATGCAGCTGGCGGTTCATCGGAGTCGGAGGGAGAGTGCGCGGGCAGCAGCGCTGCTCGTGCGCGCGCTCAGTACGTCAGCGCCAACTGCGTCGTGTTTACCCACTACTCGGGCGACGTGGCTGCCGTCGTGGACGAGCACTTCGCGCGCGCCCTCTCGCTCGACAAGCCCAAGGGTCAGTACTCAGAATAGACACCGACACTCCTAACCCACTCACACAACCAACCCACCCGCTCCCACGAAACGTAAGTACTCTAAGTAACATGACCACTTTCTTAATTTTGAGATGCATACTATTTAAATACAGGCAGTTTCTTTGCATTGGACATGCGATTTAATCGTTGTCCTTTTTTTTCTGTGCCGAAATCCCCTCGTATACCTACCACCCACCGGTGGAAAACCTAGCCAATCATTTCATACCACAGGACAGGATAGACACGCGCTGAACGGGCAGGATTGTCAAACAATCATTGTTCTACAGAAAATATATACATATAGGTACTTATAGGTATAAAAATTCTGCACAACAACATACCTACATCTTAGGTAGGTAGGTATGTTGTTGTATCTTGGAAAGTTGAACTTATAAAAGTTCCTTTACTAGGAATTTTGTGTAAAAATGAATCTCAACGGATTCGCAGAATAATTTCTATTGAGTTCGCTTTAAGAAGTAGTGTCGCGAGCGATCCGCGCCGCCACGGCTCTGCTCGACGGCGACCAGTCACTAGATAAATCACTGGAGTGATTCTCGTAGCCGCCTTAATTAAACCCGACATTTAATTACGAACTAGCTTCTCGCCTCCCTCGCCCCACACCAGCGGTAGATCCCCCCCTCCTCCTTGCAACCGTTTCACCGCCATTCTCATCTCATTATTATCATCCCGCCTCTTCACTCGCTCTAGGTCAGCTACAGCGCACTCCATTAGTTAACCAATTATTGAGCTCAGCGCTTTATTTGCAAGCAGCTTGAAACCCTCGCAGTCTACTGCATTGCATTTAATAGATAAGTGCTTTGTGATATTTGTTAAGGTTAGGGCAACCGCTTAGGTAGTGTGTTGAGGTTATAGAGTTAAGTATACAGCGAGGCTGATGTGATGATGACTTGACATTACGCAACAGAACCGGTCGGGCTCGGCACCGCTCGGGCTAAAAAGTGGGTGGATTCGTGGATAGGATGTGCGAGCGAACGACGAGACACAGGACATAGTTACGCGCTCGTGATTAGATCAGAAAAACGCGAGCCATTACTTAAAAGCTGCTCGAAAGGGGCCCGCGCGACAAAAACACATAACTTTGGCATCGGCGAGGCCGCGCGGCTTTGTGCCACAGCACCGCGCCGCGCCGCACCGCGCCGCATACCGGTCGCTACACACCGACGTTGCAAAAACACGACAGATACCACTTCTAAACGTACGCCACGATCTGGTTATCATACACCACGCACAATCTCTACCCGTCTCGGATGACCTTCAGTTTATGGCCATATTATGTTGCTTTGGTCTTGGCTGTTTGGCAAGTGTGAAGAAAATGATAATGATTAAATAGAAAACTTAGTTTGAACCACTACCACGACATGTTGCATAGATATTCGCCGCAAAAGTGTTAATAAATATAAATGTAAGAGATATCTAATTACATGTACTTCAAAGAAGTCGCCCAGAGATGTATTACAGCAAATGATTTTTATGTATAAATAACTGTTACTTACTGTTTTTACTTACAGTATCGTTTTGGGATAAATCCTGTAAAGACACTGTAATTGTTTTTAATAAATAAATAAATAAATAAATAAATAAATGTTGTAGGCGCCGACAGCAGGGCAGGTTAAGCACGTTTATCATTCGACGTATTTTGCAGATTAATGCACGGGTTGATCAGTTCAGTTTTCATCGGTTTCACTACATTTAGAAAACAACACAGTGAATAACTTACTATAAGTTTTTTGTAAGAATGTAAAGTTTTTGGAACAAAATAATTCTAATTATTGTAGAGAGAGACAAGAAGAAGAGAGCCTTTAACTTTTTAAATGTAGAAATTAACGAAACATCCATGACACCGGACAAAAATGCCAATCAAAAATAATAGACTGTAGTTCATCATTTTATTAACCTCTGACTGAATGTCGTGTGCATGCATGCATCAGTATGTGACAGAGACCTTTGGTAAGAAATATTTGTTCTAGAAAACACTTGTATATAAACGGCACAGACCTATTTAAAGCTTTATGGACAAAATTTTGCGTCACATAGCATTTTTTGGTGATAATAGCAATAAATTTAAAAACGATTTATTGATTTATCAGTGAACATAATATAAAGCGTTAGTATAGTTCAGTGTGGGGCAACATTAATGAGATACGACCGACGGCGAGGGGACGACGAGGCCAAGGTTCGATCCTCTGAGTGCGGCGGCGAGTTTAGACGTTCGCGCGGTTCCCCGAAGTGACAATAGTTTTTTGGCCTTTTTGTTCATCGTTCTTGATATGTTTAGTCACTGATCAAAGACTTTGACGATTTTAAGAAATAACCATTTTCCTGTTACCCTCCATTTTATAACCATAACTCTATAAAAGCACTTTAAAGGAAATTATTTTTAAGTATACCTTAAAATACTAAAAAAATCGTTTATCTTGAATACGAATAGATAGAAAGACCATAGTCGATGCTCGCAGCATCAACCACTTTCAGACCTTAAGTATTGGAAGAGTTTATCAAGTCTTACTTAAGTGCTTTACACCAGCTTTTGTGACACACTTAGGCATGTATCTCTTGTTAGGTCTGCACTTACATTTTTTAATTTAAATAAATAGTTTGAAATTGATGACAACTGTTATAATAATGAAATAAAATAAAAATGTTTGCAGAATAAGAATAAGATCTTGGTTACATTTTGTATATGATTTACATATTATTGTCATTAGATTCTGATATAAAGCTAATTATTAAAGCCAGTATATGACTATTCTTAAATGTGCAAGAGTGAATAGAAAAAAGCAAAATCAATATTTTGCAATCGTCCTGAGCTAGGTGTGTGTCCTGTGTTTCAGGCAGTCGCTTGACTATGATGTTAGACACAGGACGTTAATATCTTGAAGTTCTAGTTCAAGGTTCATAAGGTAAATTACTTAAGACTGGTTTCTATACACAAATAAATATTAATTGCTGCTGCTGATTACAGTTAAAATTATATCATTTTAAAATTGCTCTGATGTTTTCTGCCTCTTCGTAATTAATCTTACCTAAATATTCTCCTACCAGTAAATATCTCAACATAAACACGCTAAATTATATCTTAGGTACGTGTATAAGGTATCAATTGTGAATAGTGATTATCTCACCACATTCACACAAATAACTACAAGCTAAATGTAAATTGAATCAAATCTAACACTACTTCTACTATTTTTTTTTTAAAGTTAAATAATTTTAAGACGCGTGATCATTCTTATACTTAGCCTTGAACCTATATAACATTACTTGTAGTGAAGGATTAACGAACGCTGAGCCAAAACTGATATAGGTAGGTATATAGAATAGTACCTACGAGGTAATCGAGATAAAAACTCGTCATATCTCAAACTACTCACCACGAGAGAGAATTACAAACAATATTTGAATTTGTCCTTTTTAAATAACCTCATGTGAAAATCGTTATGCACATGTCCTTTCAGAGAAATATTTGTAAATATTTCAAGACCTTATTTATTAATCTTTTAAATTAAAATCGTGTCCGTGTAGTGACGGATTAAGAATACGGAATGTCACTACCCCAATTCATCCCGTGGGTATCGTAAGAGCCGACTAAGGGCGCAAAACAACGCAAGACACCAGCACTGCAAAAAGAAGGATAACTTGACACAAAACCTATACCGACCCGTCTGGCCAGCGTGGTATAGTAGGCTAAAACCTCCTTTCTAAGGAGAGGCCTATGTCCAGCAGTGGACTATTAAAGGCTGTTGATGTGAAATTAAAATCCTGGAACGAAGAGGAGATGAAAGTTTGTAGATATATATTTACATACATTTTATGTAGAAGAAGCACAATAAAAATTACCGGTGAAATATTCCTACATGGAAAGATTATTAAAGTCTGAGGATATTGACATTCATACACTCGGATATGACGTGCCTTCGACCGTGACGGTGGTACCTCAGACATATCTGCTAGGATCACAGGACGTTAAACATTTGCAACTAGGTACACAAGCAAGGCCTTAAGCAATTATAAATTAAGCAAAAAAAAATTATAATAAATAGTAATAATATAATTATTATAATTAGTTATTAAGCAATTTGCCTTATAAACAAAATTAAAAAGTGCAAAATACAGAGAGGTAAATAAAAGAAAAAAAAACTGAACGCAAATAATAACTAAAACAACTAAACAAGTAAATGTAAATCAAACAAATTTAATACTTGTTGAACACACTTACAAACAAGTAGGTCGTCATCCACTTGTTAACGTTTAAATATCTCTTAATGGTACTTAGCGCTCGAGTTTTTTTTTAAATACGAAGAACCTCCTTATTGAATGCTGAATAACGTGCCAAACTCATTGTTGCAGAATGACAAAGAGGGATTCCTTTTCTTTTTGAAAACTTCTTCGAAATCTCACTCAATCACACAACTTTTCATGTAGTTATCTACTTGGCCTGTTGATGTCGTTTGCCGTAAATTATGACCTGATCTGTAGATATAGGTGAAATCCTGAATACGGTGTAAATGTAACATACAGAAGGTGTGCTCTGTAAACATGAAACTTGTGAATTTATTGATGTGTTTCGAGCCAATGTCAACGGAGGGCAGTTTGATAACAGAGACATGTTGTGGTACAGAGAGCGTGCCCATGGTGTCGCGCAACCTGCCCGCGTCGTTCTTCAACGCGGCGGCGGCGGCGGGCGTGGGCGCGGGCGCGGCGTGCTCGGGCGTGGACCTGTACGAGTACGACCCCTGGCACCAGCACTACGGCGGCTACGGGCACGCCGCGCACCGCCACGCCGCCGAGTACCACGCCGCGGCGCACGTGCACCACAACATGGCGGCCGCCGCCGGCTACCCCGGCCTGCTGCTGCCGCGCTCCTCGCTGCACCACCAGTACAAGCCCGTCGACTGGGGGGCGCAGCACGCGCCGCACCTCGACCCCGCGGCCTGCTCGCCCTACTCCTATCCCTCCGTGCCCGGTCAGTCACTGCTCTTTATTGCAATCTTTTACATTTTAGTTTTTTTATTTGAATTGAAAACACTAACAGGTATCCGTCATACATACAATAGACTTATAACCTAGTGTAACTCATAATACACTGAACATAATATTGTGTTTTTTTATATTTAAAATAGATTTAAAATAGAGTTACAAAGCTAGAAACACAGTAGGCCAAAACACGGACGCTTGAGGATTTTTTAGATAGTGAGAATGCATGTCGATGAGATCACTGCAGCTGTTTAACAATTTGGAGAGACGAGGTATGGGAGAATTAGCACCAAGGATGGTTTTGCGAAGAAAAGGATGTAAGGGAGTTATAGGAGATTCTAGACACGTAGTGGTGGCTCTACATTTTCAATTGGCGTTTACCCAGCATTTACCTAGGGGTGAGCAAAAATTAAGAAAAGCACATAACTAAGTGGTAGAAAAACTAATAATAATAATAATAATAATAATATAATTTATTGTCTCAAAAAGATACATACAGTAAAAACACACATAAGTTACAACAATTCAACATGTACAATAGTTTTGTTGACCTCTGGTACCCAAAGTAAGATTTAACTTGTGGTATGGGTACCAGGGCTCTCGTACTTAATTGCAACAGGTAGTTATTGTAGAAGTGTAATGTATCGTAGTTGCATACGCATGAGGTGGATTGCTTAAGCCTTAAGGTAGAAATAACCCATAGAAATAGATATTAATATTATAATAATATATATCGCATTATTATATGTTTATATACGAGTATTTTATGTTACAAAGTCTGTATGTATGTTGGTGTGTGTGTGTGTATGTGTGTGTGTGTGTGTCTTTGTATGTGTGTGTGTCTGCGTATGTGTGCGTGAGGGATGCATTAGAATTATAGTATACTTAGTTTAATCAAATTTTCTGTATCTTCATAAGATTTGGACAAGAGCCATATGGTAACTCGTTTCTTGCATTGCGATCTAGTCAATGGATAGATGTCACAGTACTCATTAGCTACATTATATAAGTGACAGCTTACGACATTGAAGCTGCGCGCAGCTAACGCACTTCTAGAACTTTGGGCTTGGCAGACCTTTCGTGCACGGCGCTTTCTTGTGACTTCAATGTCATATTCCAGACCAATATGTTTTCTGCAGATTGTTTCAAGCACAAAGAGCTGTCTGACAGTAAGCAGTTCACATTCGTGATATAATTGTGCAGTCGAATATCTAATAGGCCTAAAAGTCATTACCTTAAGGACTGCTCTTTGTGCTCGCTCCAGGGGCAGAAGGTATGATTTCACAGCTCCACCCCAGATAGATATACAATATGTTAAAACAGATTGACACAGTGCGTAATAAACTGATTTCAGGGTGTCAAAATCAGCTGCATAACGCAATTTTTTGAAAATGTATATCATCTTGCGGACGCGGGAAGTTACATTACTCAGTTGGTATTTCCATGAAATATGACTATCAACAAATACTCCCAGATACTTTGTGTGTGCAGATCTCAGTATAGTTGGACAGTTGCAGGTATCAGTGGATGTGTATGTCGAACAAGTATGAGCTCTTATATTGAAGGTTTCCAAAGGTGGTTGAGTTTTAGCTGTCTTTGAGAACGTGATGTAAGTAGTTTTCTTAAGGTTAAGTGTAAGAAGATTGTTAGATAGCCACTGCATTACACGACTAAGAGCGCATTCTGCACGAGCAAACACTAATGGCCAGTCTGAGCCACGGACAAGTATTGCAGTATCGTCTGCATAGGTAATGATAGAAGAATAGGGAAGGGATAAGGTGCACAGGGAATTTATGTAAAGGAGGAAAAGGGTTGGACCAAGGATCGATCCCTGTGGGACACCAAAGAGAAGGGGCTCGCTGCTACTAACAATGTCGTCTATCTTTACACACTGTGTCCTATCAGAAAGATAATCCTTGAAAATTCCGAGCGCATATCCGCGGATGCCCATTCCCTCCATATTCCGTAAGAGATGTGGAACAGAGACAGTGTCAAATGCTTTGGTAAGATCGAGAAATATCGACAGGCATTTCTGTCCATTTTCGAGGCTGTTTACTATTTCATCAACCAGAGAAGCCACCGCGTCTTCAGTCGACATTCCTACCCTAAAACCAAATTGATTCGGCGCTAAAATACTGTTTTTCTGTAAAAAATTTGTTAAGCGGGTGTTTAGCAACTTCTCTAGGATTTTGGACAGTGCAGGCAGGACAGATATGGGCCTGTAATTATTGACACTGTCTCTGTCTCCACCCTTAAAGATGGGATGCACAACAGCCCTCTTAAAAGATTTGGGGAAAATCCCCTCAGCCATAGAAATATTGCAAATGTGGGTTATTATTGGTACCAAGGTGTTTGAGCACTTTTGCAATAAATGAGCAGGTATCGCGTCCCATCCGACAGCAGCATCTTTACGCAAACTCCGTATAATTAATTCAACCTCCGACTCATCCGTTGGCAAAAGGACCAAAGAGTTAGCATTAATGTTATGATTTGGCAGTTGATTATTTTGTATGTTAGAACTAAATTGTAATGCTAGGTCACTACCGATGCGGGAGAAGTACTCATTAACACGGTTTACAGATGTCAAATTATCTCTGTCTATATTTAAAAGTTCAGAAGGGGATTTTTTAATGGAATCCGTGTGAGTAATGTTTTTAATTATTTTCCAAGTTGACCGTGGATTATTTCGTGCTTTCCGTAGTTCATTATTCTCGTAGTTATGTTTTAATCTTTTTAGTAATTTATTGCAGAAATTTCGGTATCTAAGATAGGTTACTTTAAGGGTATAATTATCAGGATTTATTTTAAGCTGTGTCCTCATGGAGTCTCTATTTCGTATGCATCTGAGCAATCCTTTAGTGATCCAGGGCTTGAAAATTACCTGTTTAGATGGTGTGCGCATTATTCTAGAGTGCTTCTGTATTAATGACCCAATCCTTGTAATCAACATCTCAGATGCAACGTTAGGATCAGATGTATCTATTATTTGTGAGAAATCGGTGTTCGAAATATCCGTGTAAATAGAAGAATAATCTACTTTGATAAAGTGAGTTTTGCGTTTGTTTGGTCTTAATAACGTTTCCATGCTGAAAAGAACCGGTGCGTGGTCTGTGATACTAGAATCAATTATTAGTGTAATGGTTTTGAGGTCAGATTTCAAAAAAACATGATCCAAACAACTTTTGTCACGGGTAGGTAAATTGTGCGTTGGTAAAAGTCCATGTAATGCCGTTAGATTAAGATAATCGTTCGCCATACTGTTTAGCTGTGCCGGGATGATATTAATATTAATATCTCCGATAAGAACCACATTTTTATAACCACATAAAGACGCAAGTGTATCCTCTAAGCCGTATAAAAAATTGTCAATATTACGGTTACAGGGTGGGCGATAAAGAGCAACTATAGCAAGATTTAAAGACTCAATTTTGCAACTCACCCGGCCGCAGACTGTCCAAACTGGTGCTAAATGAAGTCTCACCACAATTTACTTGCAGATTGATTAGTCTTAGCAGACTAAACATCCGTATAGTTGTGAGAACTATTACAGGACATCGAGCCCTTAACCGACAACTATTCACCATTAACACTACGGACAGTCCTCTTTGCAGAGGATTTCTGAAAGCGGAAGAAACGCCCGCCCACGTAGGTAATCCGGTACAGAATCTCTTAGAACCTTATGAACGGGCGTTCAGCAGGCTTTTGCGCTTATGGAAGGAGCTCGGTTGGCTCACCTAGCTTACCTTTCCTCAACGCGTAAAGGACCATTCTTGCCCCACTGTGGGTACACCCATGACATTTTCCTCCTAATTAATTAGTGTACCTACTTATTTGCTTGTTTCTCGAACAGTAGATAGCTGTTGAGACAAGTTCATTTGTTTGAATATGAAAAGCATGTTAGCTCTTTTGCGGTACCGCGGCACCAACATTTGACACACAATTAATGAGATGTACCGCCCCCTGAAATTCAGAACCGTCGTCGTTGATAGATGTTATGCGGGTAATCCCGGCGGCGGCACTCGTTAATGTGCGCGGATATCAAAGGCATTCGTATAATTTGGGCTCCGTGTAAACGATCAAACACCGCGATAAATAACGGTACATACTTTCATGACAAAATGTTTTCCTAGCGGCCGCCGCGCGCCGCTTTCGGGTGCTTCTCGTGTATTTTCATTTTTCAAAGAGATTCCACTCTCGACGAGCGCAGATATTTTAATTGTGATGATTTAGGCGCAAATTAAGAATGACAAAACATAACATTCCCACTTTGTGCTCCTGTTGTTACATGAACCTATATGAAACAGATACCTACATAGCACACGGAAAGTTAAATTCCGAGCAAGCCGTCAGTTGTAAAGAACGCTCTTGCAGCACGGGAAGCAGTGCTGCAAGAGCACGTGACAGACTCATTGTGCCACTGCATCGCTACGAGCGCCTCGCATGCCAGAAAAACCCTCAGTTGATTCGCAATCGTTCACAGGCCGGAATTTAGATGCGGCATAATTGCCGAGTGGCGGATAAGAAACGATTATAAGCGACGGTTGATGCAGTAAAAACAAACAGAGGCGGCGAGTTGAAAGGGCTCTAGTGTCCGTAGAGCGGCGAGTGGGGCGCGGGGCGCGGGCGCGGGGCGCGGGCGCTGGCAGCGCGGGGTCGACGCTTCCTAATGACGACGATTAAAATTAATTTGCGCGAGCGCGGGGCCCCGCCGCTCCGGCCGTATCCCCCTCCGCGACCCTTTCGCAAATTAAATTCTTGCCTCACGATCAAGCCTCATTCGTTCCTAGCCCCGCACCCGCCCCCACGTCCCCGTGCGGCGCGTCCCTTTTGTCTTGATGTCCGTCCGTCTACATGACAGATAATGTTTTACTCGGAGCGAGGGTACCCTCGATTGAGAGAATGCGCTTTTTATTTTTTGAGAACTTGGAAACAATTGGTGCCTTACACGCACGATGCGAGCATTTCAACTGGCCGTATCCAAAGTAGGTAGGTACGCTCATCAGAACCTAGTGCTGAACATTAGTAGGCTAGTCAACAAGTTCAAAAAAAAAACGTATTATTTCTTGATAAAGCTCCTAAAAATATGAGCGATAGCTCATTTGATTCGGAATGACGTCTAGAAAATTGTATCGAAAGTAAGTATTAGCACAAAAAAAATGCAATTGTTATTAACAAACCAAGATGAAAAAAACACAGCATTTAGTTTTTTGTTAATAACTTAAAAATTATTAAAATTTTAAAGAGTTTTGAAAAAAAAATTCTTAAAGAAGAGGAAATTTCCAAGAAAAAAGTTCTGACTCAAGGAACTCTATCTCTATCATTTATAATGTTAATTCAACGCCGAAAATAGGGCTCCGCCCAGCCGTAACGACATAAGCGTACTACCGCTAAAGGCAATGTATCACAAAAATTTTTTGTAGTAACAAATATTAATTTAAAATTTGGATAAATTATGGCATCATCTAGACACTTGAAAGAATAAATTAGAAACAAAAATTAAGTCAATTTTTCAAAAAGTTATACTATTGTTAATTAATAAAAAAAAACAATCTCTCTTATGCTTAACGACCTCATAAACGTTTAAATAATATATCTATAAATTGTCGCCTTCTTATACCTATACTTAACAAGATCACTTGATAAAAGTAAATTAAACTTATTTATAATGATTTCTTAAAGTTAACAAAAAATGTTGGTATTTTCATTTTTTGTTAACCTCATATACAGATTAAATTTTTAACACGCATTTTTTTTATACTCAGTAGGGACTTGTATATAAAATATAATAAGTTTTTAGCTTGCGTATGTTGTCTTCCGTTAAAAAAATGACTTATTCATATACAGCCCTACAGAGATTGGCATTCAGCAGAGCATTATTACCCACGATGTGCAAAATTCTAAGAAAAGTTAAAGTAAAACATTTTTAGAACAATGAAGTCAAGAAGTCGGTGGTGGCTAATACGTGCACGCATTTCGGAGAGCCAGTCGTTTTTTTCGTATCCCTATTATTGTTTTAGTCGTCTGACAGCAATTGGTGGCAATATATTTATTTATTTAGGACAAATTACAAAACATACACTAATATATAGTTTACCAACATGTTTTACAATTGTGTGCTCAGTGTTGTTCAACTTACAAGTTGCCACGGCATGGTATCTAAGGGACAGTTTGGACTAAGTTTTTTTTAAATACTTAATATTAAGTAAACCTAAACTTATGACTTCTTTTACGTATTAATAAAATGAAAAAGGAAACTATTATCTAAAATTAGTTAACAACATCTGTGAGAAACAATTTTGATATATTTTTACATTTTTTTTTTTAAATTTTTACAATATTTGTCTGTGTAGTGACGAATTAAGAATACGGTATGTCACTACCCCAATTCATCCCGTGGGTGTCGTAAGAGCTGACTAAGGGCGCAAAACAACGCAGGACACCAGCACTGCAAAAAGAAGGAAAACTTAACACAGACCCTATACCAACCCGTCTGGCCAACGTGGTATAGTAGGCCAAAGCCTCCTTTCTAAGGAGAGGCCTATGTCCAGCAGTGGACTATTAAAGGCTGTTGATGTGGTGATGAGATGATTTTTACAAGATACATAAAATTATACACAGTCAAATAAAAAACACACAGAATAAGATCGAGAATACAAGTCACTGTGATGCATTTGTTCTTAGAATACAGGCTAGGTCCCCATGCGATAACTTTGCTTTTAAATGTTGAATAATTCTTTGACAATGCCACTAATTGCTGTTGTATCTACGAAATTACACCTCGTACTATTAATTTATTGTTTGGCATAGGAGGTTGAACCTGATGGTATCTTGGATGGGTCTGAGGCTGGCTCTTTCATGGTAATCTGTTAATAATTTGTCGCAAGAGTCAGAGGAATGCTTGCTATCTGTTTCTTATATGTAATCTGTATAGGCACGAATATAGCCCACTGGCTAGCTGGACATATCAAGATATAGATAGATACAAGATACCGTCTGGTTTATGAGTGTCTTGTGAATATACGGTTGGTATGACTTATTAAAGCTGACACATCCCAATGAACTTAAACTAGTGAATGCTTTATCACCCAAGTTTTATATAAACTCTTTATTTTGTAAATTGTTTCTGCGCGTTCCTCAGTTCCCAGAAATGATTCAAACAGATTTAAGTGATTTCGTTTGTCATTTGTGAATACCTAATAACATTTAGTTATTTATATTAAACTAGCTGAGACCCGCGGTGTTACCCGTATTTGTTGTTATAACCGCGGGCAACGCCGCGGGGCGAAGCTAGTCTAAAAAAAGTAGCCTAAGTTACTCCTTATGTCATCAGCTATCTGCCAGTGAGAGTCCCGTCGAAATCGGTCCAGCCGTTCCAGAGATTACCCGGAACAAACAGACAGACAGACAAAAATTGTAAAAAATGTTATTTTGGCATATGTATCGTGTAAACATACATATGCATTTAGTAAAAAGCGGTTATTTTAATATTACAAACAGACACTCCAATTTTATTTATTTGTATAGATAAAAAATCACGATGAGCGGTTCAGTACTCGCACCTAAAACAAAACTAACAAATAACTCACTTTTACAACATTTACAATACATAATATTAATAAGAATAAAGATAGTAAATTAACACGAATTACAAAGAACTTTCTCCAAGGATTTCAGGGAATACTACCGTTTTATTGTAGCGTGCTGTAGGTAGTAGTAGTAGCGGGGACAGAGGCATCAAAAGACGGTGCGGTGTGTCCCTCTGGCACCGCATTCCTCGAGGCGCAGGGGTGCTAGAGGGGGCGTCGTGACAGGGCGAGGGTGTAGCGGAGCTTTATTGACAAATACCAGAGTGTGGGCCGCGCCCCCACTCCCTCTGACCGCAGCTCCCTATTGACACCGACGTGTGTGTTGCTCGGCGAACCGCTTGACAGGACAAAGTGCACCCATCTTTTATTTGGAAATGGTTAAACCGTCAGTACTTGTTTGAACCATCTGCATAACCCAGAAACAATCTGTAGGTGTATATGTAGGTAAATATACTTAGGTAATAGTGACGTAGGTCTCACGTTACCAGTAAAGTTTGCTGTGAATATCAATTGAGCCAAATAGGTAGGTTCGGTTGTAGGGTTTCAAAGTAGGTGTACCTATGTACATTCATTCTGATCATTCTATCTGACGTTTTGTGCCAAAAAAAATTCATTCTTTGAAATATTTTTAAATAATAAGTTAACAGTATATTAGGTAGATACTTGTACCTTCCTACGTTCAGGGTAGCATTGAGTTTTATAATCTGATGGGTATACTTACCTAAGTACTGTTTATGAAATGTTAACAAATGCAATCGATTATTAGGTAGGTACCTACTTATTGGTGAACTCATTGACCAAATAAGTAATTACAGAAATCATTTCAAGTTAATTACGTGATGATCCAAGCTGGCTCCTAGCTTCATTGCGTGTACTCAGGTACCTGTGGGAACAGCAGAATTGTTCCTTAGTAGGTACCTGACAGACGGTAAAAGTATTTTTTTCCAAAATTGGAGTTAATTTTTTTTTGTAACGAGAGTTAACAGAATTGCAGAAATGTTGAATAGGTACGTAGAATAACTAACCGTATTGTAATGCTCAACAACATACTTAAAAAAATGTACATTAGGTACTTTTGCTGTTACCTATTACAAAATGAAGGCGTGTGTGCAGGTATGCATTTCAATAGACGACGCGAGTCGCTAGAATTACAATAGGGACTAACTAAAGATACGCAATGCATTAAATAGATGAGCTCCGACGGTCAATAAATAGAACAGGCCAGTGGCCGGCGCGGGGCGCGGTGGGGCGGCGGGGCGAGGGGCGGCACGCCAATGCGCGCTCGCGCCCCGCCCACGGCGCCGCGCCACCCGCCGCTGCGACGGGAGGGGCCGGTACCACCACTTGCCACCACCACCACTAAATCACCACGTCCCTGTCAATTACGCGTACGTGACCGCGTGTAGGCGCCCATGATAGATACCTAGGTATGTGTAGGTATCTACCTAGGTACCTACATATCGATAGGTAGGCAGAGCTATTAGTAGGTCAATGGCGGGCACCTCTCAGTACTGACGTGAACTAATTGACTCCTAATGAACTATACCTACCTACCTGTGTCCATATAATTTGTTTGACAAGTTGAATAAAACATAGGGTGGGTACATCTACTAATGAAGTTGCACTTCACTATTTATTACAATAATAGGTAACACATCGGCACCACACCTTTTTGTAATATTAAAGGCTCATTGGGATTCCGTCGAAATTGAAAATGTTTCTAATTACAAAATCAAAACAAAATCGTGTAACAAACAGAAGGAGAAGGTAATAAGGTATCTGCTTAACTGGTTTGTCTTTATGTCTATGTATTACGTAGGTAGGTATAACGTAAAAAACTAACAATATTAAAGCTCGTAACCATTCAGTACCTTTACTGTCTAGTCGGAGTTCGGATAGGGATCCAGCTCTCATGGGGTATAGCATAGAACTCTTGTTCAGGGTTACGGGTGAAGACCTCAACGGTGGAGTATGAGGAGACAGCGGGTGTTGGAACGGCCAAGTCAGCGGAGGAGGCCAGCCTCAGGGGCATCACTATGCCCCTGAGGCTGAGGCACTGGATAATGGTGGAGGGTAACAGTAGTCACTAGTATCTTAGTGAAGCGCAAAGATGAACGATCGGAACCGATTCACATATGGAATATTATAGCCACTGAGGTTATAATACAGCGATAAAGAAAGCAAGGGGAAACTACTAAGCGATTCCAAAGATATGGAATGGAGCTGTGCTAGGATACAACCCAATAAGTGACAGGCTTATTTCAATAAAACTCAGCGCGTCACCAACTCTACTAAATATTATACAGGTATATGCTCCTACGTCTTCTTCCAGTGATGAGTCAGTAGAATTTGACCTTTACCTTGAATTTTCTACCGCTACAACACCCAAAAGAGAACTGCTACTCATTATGGGATATTTTAACGCTAAAATGGGGGAAACTACTATGGATGATGGAAATCGTAACATCGTTGGAAGGTATGGTCTTGGCGTCAGAAACAAGAGAGGAGACCGCTTAATAGAATTTGCAGCCAACAACAACTTGACCATAATGAATACCACCTTCAAGCACCATCCAAGACGATTATATACTTGGACATCCCCTGGCGATTTGTGTCGGAACCAAATAGACTACATTCTAATAAGATCAAGATGGAGGCAGCAAGATCAAGATGCAGACTGTGAGTCGGACCATGAGCTGCTCGTCGGTAAACTAGAGCTTAAATTACAAAAGGTAATAATGTCAAAAACCCTAGACGTATGCAGATAGTGGATAAAAGCTCTCTTACCGCATTCATCGAGAGTAAGCATTTGCATTCTGCTTGGAGTGCGGATATTAGGACCAAGGATTCCAATTCCTTGTCGATATCCACAAAGAAATGTGTTGTGGATGCAGTAAAGGAATCGCAACCCACTAAAGTACCAACTAAACGGCAATTTTGTGAAGTGTCGGAAAAGGGTCTTGTTACACATTATTCGGACTTGCTACCATCCGCTCAGAGCGTGTATAGAATGATGGAAATGACTCATGATAAGGAACTTCGTTCCAATATTAAATTTACGTTACACCTTACACACAAATCTACGTAGGTATTGCATTCAACAAATTTCCGACTTTCTCAATGTACCTATTTAATCCTTATACTTTAGGTATAAAGATATCTAGCAGTCTTTTATTCAAATTCATAAACTTTGATACACAGAGCACAAAACTTTTAAAATGAGATCTATTCACGGTCTCAATTTCAATAAATTTTGTTTTCCATACAAAACGTAAAGCACACTGATGACTGACTGATGGTCGCTGGATCCGACATATACCTACCAGACCGACGACTTAAGGAAAGTGGTTAGCAGCGGATGGATGTGGACTGCCCAAGACCGGGATAGGTGGCGCTCCATGGGGGAGATCTTCGCTCAGCAGTGGACGGCGATAGGCTAATGATTAATGATGATGAGTATAGGTCGTGGGTTGTTTATACCTACTAGTTTAGGATAGACACTATACCTACCTAGTAAAAATGTATAATTTGTAAGTTGGGTAAACGGTGCGGGGCATAGAACCATTGTTTTTCTAACATTGATTCATAAAGATAGACAGCCGTCCAGCCGGAGATAATATTAGTCGCATTCCGTCGATAAGAAACAATATGTAAGTAATGTAATTGTGCAGTAGATACTAAGAACGGTACAAAGATGTTACTGATAGGCATCGCGGTGTCGGGCGGGCGCGCGGTGCCGCGGAGACCGCTACTATCATTTATAACAATCAGGCCGGCGCCGGCCGCGACCTCGCCCCGCGCTGCACTCCTACAGCATTAATGACATCAATAGTTTGTCGTGTCATACACGGGCATTCATCAACCAATCGAGACAAGGTTAAGTACTAAGAGGTGCGCACATAGATCACCACTCTGTCCTTTTATCTCACAAAATTAGTTGCTCTTGCGCTGCAACTTTTGAGGTCGAGGATCTTTGCCGGTTATGATGATGACGATCACTAAATAATAATTCTACCTACAATTTACTTGAAATTAATTTAAAACAAAGATCGTTAAATTGAACACTTGGAATTTGGTTTGACTCACTAGCTGTTGTCCGCAGCCTTGTTGACCAGATCTGGTGTGCTTGTGGGCTAAGTTAAGTTATAATATATCTGAGTGCTTCATGGTATCGTAATCTATTGAGCGATAGATATTCCTCTTGTTATTTCTTTATTTAATCCAAAAAACATGCTATATAATGAGTAATGTATCTATAAGAGTGAATTGTGTGTCGCAGGTCTGGAGGCGCAGGTGCAGGACACGTCCAAGGACCTGTACTGGTTCTGAGAGGGCCGCCGCCGCCCCGACGGACGCTAGTGCGGTGCGCTCCACCGTCGTCCCGGTGTACGAGTAGTGTAGTGGTCACTAGTGATGCGTGCCCACGGGACGGACTTGCGCCGGCACCGGCGCTTGCACTCAATGTGGACTATTTGAAATATGTACCGTTCATACTGCAGTTCGAGCTGAGCTGTGTAGTCAATCTTGTTTAGACAGAGTTGTGTGCAGTTTGGAAGTTATGATATGTCACAGGCTGTCGAGAACTAAATATTGAAAACTTGCGGGATAATCGGCAACTGTTGATTTGCTTATCCTTATGCAATAAGGCTGTAGCCTACTATTTGTTATTCCTGAATAATATATTAAAGTTAGTTATAACACATACGACACAATAGTCCGTTATCATGGCCACAGGCCAGGGATGGTCGCTACCGCGCTGCCCTAATTGTGTGAAGCTGTTTTTGTCAAATAAATTAATATTATATTAAGCGCGGCGCTGCTTCAGCTGGCCGCGACGATCCTTGCCCTGAATAAAATATAAGCAGGTGAACACCACCGTGCCTTGTGACACGCTCACAACTCACCACTCACCGCTCGACACTGACCATCATCTCCATGCGGTCCTCAGGAATATAGTCTAACAAATCTATATTTAAACATAGTGCTGTTTACAGAACATTAAAACAATGTTGTATTGCAGTATTAGCAGTTGTCTATTTAATACTTGAATCGAATAGTAAAAGACAATATAATTATTGTTACCGTTAATGTTTTGACTTATTCTGTTCAGTTCATATCTAAATAATTTCAAAACTATGTGACTAGTGCCGCTTTAAACAACATTCATGTTAACGTGATTAAATTTTTTAACACTTTGTTAAAATAATCTAAATGTGAATAATTAACAATTTGTCAGTTGTATAGCCCATACTCGTATCTAGATTTAAAGATCATATTCAAAACTGCACACAAGTGAGACACGGTCAGTTCGTCCCACAGTCGGGTCGAGCAACACGACAGTGATGGACTCAGTACATGATATATGTATAACTGTGTACGTACGTAGAGTAGTTAGATGTAATCTTAAACTGTACATACTTAGTTAGCTGTTAGTGTAACTAGTGAATAATGCGAAACACATTGTAGATAATGTGCTCCTAGTACAATCGTTCTTTACCTGCCGTACACCCGACACACACGTAGGTACAAAGGTGTACGAGCCTGCCTCCCGTCAGCAGACCGTGGAGGTTGAAGTGTGTCAACGGTGTACTCTTGTACATACAATCAAATATAAGTAAGTTTTATCAAACGGTTCTTATGAGTTAGATATATACTATGTTGTAGATGCGAAGTAAACTGGCGAGTGGCGCGCGTCTGCGGACGCGGCGATAGTGTCTGTATATAGTGGTACATAGGTACAGTGTGTGGTTGTAGAGACGTAACTAATGTACAATTCCCCGAGGGTGCGCAGTGTGTGTTGTGACGTCACTCGCCGAGCCGCGCGCCGCACGAGGGCTGCGCTGGTGCGCTGAATGTTATGTATGTATCGCCTCCGTTCATAGAGAAATGATCTTAAATATAAATTCCATTATCTACTGTGATTGTTTTACTTGTGTGTTTTATTTCCTTCAACCAAAATCCCTTACAAGCGAACCACGTTAATTGGTTGCTATGTTATTCTATTGGTATCACCTCGACACAAGAAGGGAAGACACTGGGGAAACAGAGTGTTATGTTATTAAGCATTCGACTTTGTGCTTCCAACGTGTCTCATCCTCCACCATTTTGAAACATTAATTAGGTTTAACGTCACCGTCTTGTCAGTATTACGATATCTGCCTGTTGATATACCTACATATTTCATAACATTTAAATTCAAAGTGCCACACCTATATTACCCGTAATTCAGGTTCATCACATAACACTGCGCATGTCAAATTGTGCGGCCTGAGAGATAAAAGCCCGTTTAGCCCTGCAGCGATGTACTTAGCTGTATATTGGCAAACAACGGCTTGTTTCTACTTCTTACAATAACCGATCAGCAACGATGTTACCAAGTCGACAAAACATACGATGACCATAATTAAAAAGTACCACAGTAAATTACTGGGCAACCATTAGGTTGGCTCACCACTTTCGATAAAGTAGATACTTGTTTAATCACACGAAGGTATCATCATCTATATTGTTAATGACAGATTAAGTAATGAAAAAGAGCTTAATAGTTGATATATTTATCTACTATTACTAGCTACGTAGGTATAAAGCTGAGAGGGACAAAACATACAGGCATTGTGTATTAATGTATAGTCGCATAAATATTCAACACGAGCGCCATATACGGAAGGATCGCTACAAAAAATAAAATAAATCCAGTGTAGATGCAAGCTTTACACACAAATTGACTATTTATGGAGACGAGCTTACGACTAGTGGATACTAGTGGATACTAGTGGATACTAGTGGATACTAGTGGATACTAGTGGGTACTAGTGGGTAGCTGAGCGCACTCGCACCCGTAGCTGTGGAGGCTGTGCTCTTGCTATGGAAGGGCGGCAGGCGAATGGATTATAAGTGAGGCCTATGTCCAGCACTGGACTATTAAAGGCTGTCGATGATGATGTGTTATTTATAGTCTAGATTAAATGATATCGAGTACAATTATAAATACTACACAGGCCAACAAAATTTGACAAAGTTTCTTACATATCTTTTTTCCCTGAGATAGTAGTGAAATGGCTTTGCTTACCTTAGAGGCTTGTAGTTCAGTTAAAAAAACAAAATTATGAAAAATGAAATCTTCAAAATGCGACATCTCAGCTAAAGGAAATGATATTTAAGCAAACTCAACGTCATTTGAAAGCTAAAGACTTGAAATTTAATTTAATTATAAAATTTGAAGGGTTACATAACCTTAAAATAGGCAAAAATGGTGTTCTTTGCACTTTTGGGTCAGAATATCTCAAAAACCTGACGTGATAGAAAATCTACGGCCGGATTTAGATTCAACGCACCAAAATCCTTCGGTAAAGTATAGGTACTCTGGTTTCTGGGCAAAAATGTTGTTTCCCTGTGTTATTAGAAATATATTTCTTGGTGTCTACATACCTAACCAATGGTAGGTAGGTAGGTAGGGGATTTACTTTTACTTTCTAACTAACTGAAACAAGGGCGGGGGGACTCAATTTATCATTATGTATATATGTGGTACTCGATTAATCAAAGACATCAAAAGCAAAATTTTTAAGAGACGAGACGTCGAGGGAACTTTTTAAATATGTATTACATCCCCGAGTAGAGTTAAAGGGGTATTTTGTCACATGATGTAACTCGGTGAGTTTACTCTTGGAAAGGACTGAGAACCGTAGATGGTCTCCAGAGCTGCTACTCAATAATAAGTATTAGATGGGTTACAATTCGGTAACTTTGCAACGGTGGAAATATTATTAGTGTGTAATATATATTAGTGTAATGCACAAAAATATTTGGGTTTAAAGAATTTAAAGTTAGTTCACTTATAATAAGATACATAGTAATTAACTTATGACTACTACAATATTCACCTCTTAGCGTGTTGGATGCTACAATGTACATACATGTTACTTAAGCCCGCTTTTAAATGCATTTATACTATCACAATCCTTTAACAAAAATATTTAAACAGAAAACACTCATAAATGCTTTAATGTTCTTGTAACAGGGTTTATGGTCGTTAACCCATGCGAACATACAAATGTAGGTACATATAAATGTATGTTAAGTACAGATAAGTACAAAACAAGTTGACTGATTGTATTTTGTGACTTATTACAAAATACCAGCGCTCGTCGCAGGCATTTTTACGATTTACGGTGAGGATTCTCGTATATTTCCGTAAGGTATTTTATGGGTACATGTATCCGTAGAGCGGCGGTAGTGAATATCAGCGGACACTCTCTCAAGCTCAAGTTCGAATGCTCTTTGCAAAAATTTGTATGCATGGATACGTCTATTTGATTTGGTCTAAGCGTTGCTATGTAAAAGACCTGCACAGGTTTGGTTGTGTTTTAGAATCGATGGTCCAGTACTGTAAGTGTTGGTCTATTAACAAAGACAGAAATTCGTTTTTGAAAATAGAAAAGATAAATAAAAGAAGTCAGGGCACACATGATTACCTAAATAAACTATAACCACTCTTAGTTATGTGCAAAAGTACTTAATAGTAGTAATAAAGTAAGATAATTATAACTTAATTAACTAAGCTGAGATCTAGCCAGAAGTCTTGATCACTTAGGTAACATCGAATACATCAGTTAGTAATCTACTATTAATAACATTAATGAAGAGTTTTAATACTCTTCTTTTCGTACATTCTGTTCCAAAAAGATATTGGCTGACTTTTAAATGTACGATATGGGGCATAATAATATAGCACATATTATCACAATATGGACTGTCTGAGAACAAAATAGGCGCCGCCGGTCTACTCGACACATTTACTGCTAAATAATGGCCAGCGCGGTATTTGTGTCGACATAGACGGTAAAAGCATAGATATCAGTTGTGTCGGCGCATTCCGCGACATGTTGCTTTCAGCGTTCAGTAAGTACGTATCAGTACGTATACGTTCATACATAGTTATGGCGCCATAACATCGATTACTTAGAGTAGACAAAATGTAGCAGCAAGTATTCGTAGCGCATACGTAGGTACATTCAATATATTACTGCTGTTCTACGAAGTAGCTGCGGTTTGTACTAAATAAAAATAAAAATGTACTTAGCTTACATAAAAGAGTTAGCCGCTCCTTCGTATAATATCTATCGAACTATATCTGTGTTGTTGAATTATTTGCTTTTCGTATCAAATGTATTAATAAAGGATACATTAAATTTATTCTACTCCTGTAGATTGGACAAGATTGTAAACATCCGTTATTTGCCTGAATGTTTCTGGAAGCTTCGTGCCTATTAGATACATTACATGTCCTGCAACTAACAATTTTTGGTTGTCTGTAAGGTATGAATATGATGGTTGATATCATGATCAAGTCGGGTGAGGTAAATGTTTTTTTTTCTATAATCAACGTTTAAATCAAACAAGTGAGACAGAAATTACTAGTATCTTAATAAAGTCAATGAAATAAATGTAACACCGTTCTTATTGTAGCTTAACGTTCATGAATTTTGTTTGAGAAAGAATTTCAATAAATAAAGTAAGTATAATAGCGGCGGTGTGTTGAGTGTTGCGTTCAACTAATGTGTTTCTAAATCGGAACTATTGTGAGAGCGGTCGTATTATTATCGAATGGCGGCCGCTCGTAAAACTCGCGCTCATCAATCCGGGATTTGAGTGCGGAGCGCGGAGCAGCAACTAAAGACTAGCGATGCAAGGCGGCGCGGAAATAGCGGCGTTAAGTGCGGACGGTGTTTGTAAACACCGCTGAAATAGACGAGCATTGTCACCCCGAGACAATCGCCGCGCGCATCACACAAATAACGCGCTGTCGTACTAATAGTAGTAGGGACGCTTTTGGACACATTATACACATTCCACGGTTTCACGGCGAGCTCACCTAACTAAACATTACACTGAAATAAAAGCCCGGCTCGGCGACACCGTGAAATTTGTCGCGACACTTAATTTATGCTAATGGATCGTTAATGGCGTCATAAATATTATAATTAGTGCCGGTTACGCACCTCGGTGAGGACTTCATCTCTCCTCTGAGTTTGTTACGATCGGCCAAACGAACGCTAACTGTCAACTAGCAGCTCGTCTCGTCTCCAATAAATAGGTCGTCCAATCGGAGGCTTAAGCGCCCTCACCACGTTTTAGTATGCACGACACACTCTGCGGAGACTACTCAAGTATTGAGCAATAAACGGGTCTCAACACTGAATACAGATTCAGTTCAAAACAATTATGTCTCAGAACGAGGTTCTCGCATTAGCTGATGGCACTGGTAGAAGCCTCCCCTCGTTCGACTCCGATATATATTATCAAATTAACAGGACCGATCGTAGTGATCCTCCTACCTATTGAATTACAGATGAGGCAATTTGATGTCACTCAGTTCGTTATAAATTATGAGTTAACTATCTAAATGTATCGTGTAATGAATAATCCTGTGCCGCGGGGCAAAGATTTTGGGAGCGTGTGTTGCTCGAGGTGAGGTGCAAAAACGTGATAAGATGGTGCGCCTTCTCGCATAGCCCATTACCATTTTATTTTGTTGGAATTATTTGTGATGTGTAAAGTGCAATAATGTTACAAGAAGGTATACCAAACTGTCGATACAACACCAAGGTATATGTTACAGTGTGTGCGCCTTTGCTATTTCCGTGTCGGCCACATTCTCAGCATCCTGCGCGACGTTTCTTTGTTTTCCTGGAACGAGTTTTGGTGAATTAGCCTCGCATACATATAGCTATAAATAATATAGATTGTTCTGTATAGTCCGTAGGCAGAAGTCGATGGAGGTATAATACAGGCCGGCGTGGTGGTGTGCGTTGTGTGTCGGAATGCGCGCGCGCGTGGGAACTGGGCGGCGGCGGCTCGTCTGCGCATGCGAGCTCCCTCGACGCAATCGCCCTCAGGAACTGCTACGTTTCGCACAAAAAATGTTGTTTCAATGTAATAATAGTCGACGAAAAGTTTGTTTGTTCTCCGGGGACCCTTAAGACCTTTGTATCTAAATTATAATTCGTTCACTAATTATTTTCAACTGACGTGTTCACAACATTTTCAGGCTGCCACTATATAACTGAGACTTTAATCCAATTGATTATATTTGGTACTTGTGTAAGAGAAGATTAACAGATAACTATTTTTGTTAGTTGTAAGCATATTGCTTCACTGGAACCTTTTGCTTCTATTATTAAAGACGATGGTACAAAGACAGGCATCACGGCAAATGTATTTATTTATTCATCAAGGCATATTTACAGAATAAACACAAACATTCATACACATAATTGTTTCAAACTAAGTTCACGTGCTACTCTGATTACAAATATGCACATCATTCACATAAATAGACAACATATAAAAATGTAAAAATATCAACTTATGCACTTTACGAAATCAGCAGACTAGATTATATTAATAGTGAAATTGTACCAAATTTAACAAAAATAACACAATTAAAAACCATAAAATTGAAAATGAATAGTGACAAAGAGAGATACTTCAAGACGATGACTATTTTATTTAGAAGAAATACTTAACACCAGTTTTCTGGCAGGCCGCGGTATCATTGCGATGGAGCTGACCCATTCGCGCCGAAGCCTGGCTCTCCCACGGTTTATCTATTCTGCTCTCTTTTGTCAATCCTACTTATTTTAATCCATTTGACAACTATTACGTCACAAAGCCATATTCTGCTTGCTTGTAGTTGTACAGTCAAATTCCGTGTAGTCCCAGAGCCACCGACACGCATATTACAGATAAGTTAGGATTCGTGGTGAGTAGAGGATGTTACTGTTAAGAGTCCCTCAGGGGCTTGTTTGTGAGTGCGAGCGACGCAACGTGTGTTCTGTGCGGAAGTAGCGCGGCTCGTTGGCGAACTCGTGGGACACCGCCGCACATGTGGGCATCGCTTACGTGTGAGACTACTAATGACCGTAGAGATGTTAGACTTCGGTTTAACTGTTGCGTACAAGTTAATGTTATATCCCTACATACCTGTATTGAGACATATATACATATTTGTAACTAATTTCAAAGAAGATTCTCAATTTGACTATAGCTATTTTTTTGTTTTTTTTTTTTATGTCTGGTAAGCGATATCTTTTGATATCCAATCAAATGTAAAGTAGAATAATTAAAATCGGTTTATAGATTTTAATTATTCTACTTTACATTTGATTGGCTGTGTCTAAGACCGCTCCCATTAAATTAAAAAAAAAAGTTGTCTTTACACCCTTACAGGCACTAATTGTTTTTTAATTGATTGATTAACAATATAGCCTATTGAAACTTGATTGATTGAAGACGGTGATATTTTCTTTAAAGTTTATAACGTATAGCGCTAAGTGGCAAGCAACTAAGGCGTTACCTAATCTCCTCAAGCCCAGGAGCTACGGCTTTTCTACTCGTAAACATTGAATATATACTACGCTCTTAGTGTTTTCTGACCGTGAAGATCTACTCCAAATCTGATGTACCTTCAATCAATCAGTCAATTAGCCTATTGGAATACATCACTGGACATACATAGACCTCTCCCAAAGTGCACTCCGGCTTAGTGCCCGCGCTAGGAGGGGTCGTCTGCCCTTCGCATTCAATCTACCCCAGCTACCATCTTTAGGTCGTCAGTTCAGCTGGCTGTAGGTGTCTTACTCTTTGTTTACCAATTTGAGATCTCAACTGTGCCTTACTCTTAACAAATAGATATTAAGTTCTGTTTTAATGACTGTCATTATTAAGTCCTCTTAATAAAAAAATAGAGATAGAAGTTTGTGATAATATATTGTTTCTCATTAAATGAGATCAACTTAACTTAAATTGCATAGGCTTCTTCTTAGAAAGGAGGTTTTGGCCTACTATACCACGCTGGCCAGACGGGTTTGTGTCAAGTTTTCCTTCTCTTTGCAGTGCTGTTGTCCTGCGTAGTTTGCTCCCTTGGTCGGCTCTTACTACACCCATGGGATGAATAGTACTTTATACTAGTTTGTCAAAAAATGATTGAGACATATGAAAATTAGGCCATTCCGATTAACACTTAGGTATATTTTTTAATTTGGATCTTAAAACAATAATTTTTATTTAGCCATATCAATAACATCTATGTTCATATAATAGACGTACATATACATATTTATCAACTGGTCCCAGCTTTCTTTGTGTATAAGCTGAGTAAGCAGGCAGGCAGGCAGTACATAATAAGAAGAAGAAGTCGTATATATAATATGTATACATAAGAAGTCGCACAGAGATGTATTACAGCAAATGATTTTTATATATAAATAACTGTTACTTACTGTTTTTACTTACAGTATCGTTTTGGGATAAATCCTGTAAAGACACTGTAATTGTTTTTAATAAATAAATAAAAATAATAAATAAATAAAATAAATAATACATTACAATGCTTAATACCTTACAATGCTTTTACTGCGAGCTGCCAGACTGAACACACCTTCGTACTTTACTCCGGGATCTTTTATCGTCCATTTTAATGATATGATAGCTAACATATTCAAGTGGTCGTCAAACTTCTAACAGTTTTGTGACGTAGATAAAAAGTATTTAATGGATCGTTGTTTGCACCACAGGCGGCGTGTTTCTGTGTAGCAGAACACACTTAATTAGAGCGACTACTGAGGTTTGTGCTCGTAGAGATAATTGGACATATCTAATGTGGCATGATGTCGGAAGTGCCATCGATCACGGCGCGAGGGCGGCTGGCGCGCACATGCGGCACGGTGCGCCCGCGCAGCCCGCTCGCAGGAGCGCCGCGCCTCGTTTACGTTAACGGTTTGTTTGTAGCCACCGCCGCTTGCGCGCCGCCCCCGGACAACCCCTCCGCGCATTAGGCCGTTTTTGTTACATTGATATTACGTAAAAACATGACATAGCTCATGTTACACAGCGCCGCCGCCAACGCTCAGCGCTTTGACTTTAATTAGCCAACATGTTCGCTTAATGAATTTTATTGACTTCGCCATTAGCTAATTATTAGTAGCAGCCATTGACACGCCGATCTGATGAGTCAGATAATGTCGAGTAATACTAGCGCGAGCTAATTTAAACTAAAGCAATCACTGTACGACTTGTTACACTGTCTAGTTACTGTTGCTGTTTGTATTTTCTTCTACGCCACTGAATTCATAGCATTCAGCACACAGTAAAATATCTCGGTGTCATTATAGATAGGCATTTAAACTGGTCAGCACATATAAATGCTCTAACAGTCCGAGTAAGAAAGCTTATGCCGATATTCAGGAAACTTAGGCGGTCGGCAGATATAAACACTTTGTTGGTGGTATATTTTGCTCTGGTGCAGAGTATAATCCAGTACTGCATTGTGACATGGGGTGGAGCCGGTACAACAACTCTACTCCCGTTAGAACGGGCCCAAAGAGGTGTACTCAAGATTATACTTGGTAAGCCAAGAAGATACAGTACTGACCTTCTATATAGTGAATGCCCGGCTCTTTCTGTTAGAAAACTCTTTGTAAAAGCGGTAATACTTCGTAAGCATAAGTCCACCACCTTCAAGCATATCTCGAAACGCAATAAAAACAAAATTTACTCGGTAACCACACATAAAACATCTCTCGCACGGCGGCAGTACTATGTCCTTGGCAATTATTTGTATAATGCTGCAAACGTCGATAATAACATTTACCCACTAACGGCACATAGGGTCAAAGCAATAATTGCTGGCTGGCTGAAAGGCTTTAATTACGAGACTGTAGAAAAAATCGTGAACCACCAAAGATGTAAATAGCTCTAACATATAACATGCTCATCTACAATGGTCACATACACACACACACACACACACACACATACACACACCTTCTCACGCACACACAACACACATACACGCAGGCACGCACACACGTATGTAAACCCCCGCTTATGGTCAACAAAGAGATTGTTGTTATTTAATAATGTCAATGAATTTAATCCAGTAGATTATATTAATTAATTGAATTATATACTTTTTTTTTTCCTAATATTTTTTAACTTTGTGTTGATTTCAAAAATTGTAGTCAGCTATACAATTATAAATTGAGTTACCCAGGGTGGAAGCCGCTGACGACTGTAACACAATTTACATTAGTACGGTCGTCAACGACAAACTCTTAAATCATTGAATGTATTTGTTTGATTAAATTTGATTAAATTTGAAATTTGATTAAATTTGAAATTTAAATTTGATTAAATTTGAAATTTGAAATTCTATTACATCGTAGTAAGTACTTACTATTTATTAAATATGTATACAGTTTACTCAGCAGATTTCATGGTCAAGACTGCAACAGATGACTCCTACATAAACAGACCTTGGTCAAGGTGTTTGCTTCGCTTCTCGTATCACCAGCAGATACTTGAGCAGTGACGTAGGTAAGTAAACGCGTATAGACAAAGTGTTGGTATTCGCTCAAAGGTGTCCGCCAAGTTGCTCGTCTCGCATAATCAGACGGACATGGCTCGTGTCCGCGCCGCGCTCACCGTCACCGACAGATCAGTTATTTATCGAGTGAGGATAGCGGCGCGACCGCATACCCGCAATATGGCGTACATCGTCCGAGTGCCAAAACTTGCAACATGTCAAGAGTGATATGTGTTTAATTGGACCGCCGCTCATTTTCTGCGTGTAATATAGTTAATTTATTAGTACACATGTCGTACAGCGCGCGGTCTCATGGTGACGAGCTGACACTGTACTCGTACTTAACATATAATCTCCGTCGACACGTCGTTCTGTTATTAGATTTAATCGATGATCACTGTATATAGCCAAACTTCAACGTAATGCTGAGCGCGAAGGTTGTGCGACATGGTTGGCAACTGATATGGTCATCGCATTTAGATATTCAGTTTTGTTTTGCTAATTGGGTGAGGAGACTTTTCAAAATATTTGTATATGTATGGGTGATGCAATAGTAAAGAGCTATGTTATAGTGAAAAGAAGTCTGGTGTCTATTACTGAAGACAGGAGGCAGTAACTTAAGTAAATCTTTCCTAATTCATGCATCACAGTACCTTCTTTCTAAGGAGAGGCCTATGTCCAGCAGTGGACTATTAAAGGCTGTTGATGTGTGATGTGATGTGAGTACTGGGCACTTGGTATTAAACATTTTATTTTGACATCTCTACGCGGCAAAAGAGCCTATCCTAGCACTCTCGCTTCAGATTTGGGATAGAAGTGAAGTCCCCTGCAACACTCTTTTTACACTTATATACTGAGTTATTGACGCTAAACTTAAAGCCACGAGTTCGTTTAGTAACTGTATATTATGGAAGATATAATAGCCCTGTTGCTTTTTCTGCTAATTCTGATTTTGACAATAACAATGACTTACTCTTCAACACGCTACTCAATTTATGGAGCTTTCAGCTTAGATGAACCAAATACATAATCAGTATAAATACAGAACATTCAAATACCGGAGGCTGCTATTTATTTTAAGTTAAAAATGATATTTACTTTAAGTAGTTTAAATTGGGATCATTGATAGAATGCGAGCAAACCGCACACTAATTGTCATAATGGTCAAAGAGTTTTTAGGTTAACAATTTAGGATTTTAATGAACTCTGAGCTGCTACTTGAAGCACGTGCTTATAAATAATAATAATATAATGTAATAATGACATGACATATCATAAGACGGCAGAGTATAAACTCGGCCGTCTTATGGCAATTATGTTCTTTAAATCTTATAACTCCTCCTTATAACTTACTCCTTACCTGAATGACAATAATAACATAAATATTGAAGATGTATTCCAAAAAACTCTATACAGCCTCTATTTAGAATAATTAATAACCGCACCCCCAACTACATGTATAAAAATAGAGTGGATATTTAAACACATCTCAAATTCCATCAGGTTTTTAACCAGAGCCTGGAGTACTGCGTACCCAGCAATGGCATTCCGTGGCAGTTTTAAATATGCTGCATCACTCTAAGACTCAATACCACTAAAACTGACGCATTAACTACTACTACCTTGACCTAAAACACCTCTTTTTTTAAAGGAAAGTACTTTCTTGAAGAACCGAAACAATTAGAGTAACAAACTTACATACAGATTTACCTCTAGTGTTAGGACTGTACGCAATGGTATTGTGAAATTTGCACTTCATTGACTGCCTGTTATATTTACCTGTTATGTTACATGCCAGGGATTGGCTGAAGTTTGGTTAATTTACATCTAAGTGTAAGATTATAACACATATATCTATCATGAAAGTCTTACTGTAAATAATTGGCAATTGTATCTGTCATCGTCTAGCCGGTAACTACCGTTGACACTGAACATTCAAATAGGTATTTAAAGGGCATGTTGTATGAACCTCGTCAATACATGTGATTATATTATGTTAGATATCTAATGTTTAAATATAAAATAAACGATCCTATTATTGTGTGCAACCGGCAAGAAGATTTGGCTTAAAAACAGATCTTAGGATAATGTTGGCAGATTGTGGTGCAGGTTTCATTCTAAGCAAGTCTCATTTCTAAGCAACGTTGCTTTCAATGATTTCAATTGTCAATTTCAATGATTTAGTTTTACATATTCACAATGAATATAACATTAGTTACATATCACAATTTCGCGGCAGCTTTATTAATAGGTTTTCAAATTCAATTTCTCACTTGCAAATTTAGACGTCGTCTGTTTTGAAAATTACAAATTTTGCTAAAATTGTAAGTGCATTGTAAGTTCGGCATACTACCTTGCAATAAACATAGTCAGTAACCAGATCAAAACGCCGCGCATACGACACTCTCACCTCAATATTCATCAGCTTTGAGTGCCGGAAATAGTGGACACACGGAGTGTTGAACACTTGGATTATTAAATAGTATTTTTTTTATTGGAAGTGACAATTATTAATTCCGTTAGAGCAGTCCATTTTTTTGTCGGGGATTTTTGTTAAAATTGACAGGTACTGAGTTATTATATAGTTAGAATATAATTTAACATAAATAATAATATTGTACACTCATCACAAATACATTACTAACTAACAAGGAAGGCGCAAACACAACAAGTAGGTACAAGGGGCAGGCCTTGTAGCTAACAGCAATCACATAGTCTAGCTTGAACTAAGATGAGAGTCACATTATGATAAGAAGCAACGATAATCAGTTTTGATTGCTAGTATCAGCAGAGAAAAATGTTGGCGTAGGTCGCGTTGAGGCTAGCTGGGTACAATGGTCGAAGATTGGTCCGGGACTATCGGTGGTCGGCGCGGGGTGCGGAGGGGCGCAGGCGGCGACAGGCGTGCGTTATCGGAATAATTGTCACACCGATAATATATCTGTGTCGGGGAGCGAGATAGTATCGCAGTCGCGGAATTAACACGTCGCAGTGCGCGGTGGCCGCGACAACGCGACCAAAACGAGCCAGGCTTTGTGTCGCTATCGCACCACGCATCGGCTTTGTCTCACACCGGCCTCTTATTTATGTGGAAAGTCGCAACACTCGGGCTGCGGGCGAGCCCGACGGCCGAGCTACGCGCAGTAACAATAATAAATTGATAATGACCCAAGTTATGCGTACACTACTCCACATATTAACTTCTTGCTTTCTTTTAACCATAAACCTTAATAAGGTTTTCTTTAGAGTTATGTATTTCTAAATTTCTGCTTAGGCATATGTCAATCTAGCTCGACCGTTGACAGAAAACAAATGGCCTCTCTTCTAAAAGGTTCAGTAAGAAGTCGTAAGAAGTATCTATGGTTACCCTTCCTATATTATCTATTACTTTAATTATGTTAACGATAGGCGCAGGCATAAGTTCGTTTGGATGCACTATGAAACTATGAAATCATCGGTGTGCGGTGC